CTGTACACATACAATGATATTCTTAAAAAGCCAATTAATCTGATTCCCACACAAATCTATACAAAACAATTATAAGTAGAAGCTCAAATGGTTAATATTTTTGGTAATTCGGGTGCAGTATTTGCAAATATTTTACTCTAAGGACATGCAGGTGGAGCAGTAATCCGTGTATCGTTAGTTTTTCTAAATAAAACCAAAAATGAGAAAATGAAAAAACAACTATTTTCTTCATTATTTGCCTTCAAAACCAAAATGAAAAAAAGTGATAACGATTAGCTTTTTTAAATTTTTGATTTTGTGTTTAATGAATATGAACGGACGTTTCCCGTTTCCGTGACTTAAAATGCGATGCTGGACTTTTGCGCCACATATGGACTGAACCAGGTCTAAACCAGGACTGAACCAGGACTGAGTGTTGAGATGCGTAGGTGCGCCCGCGTAGACTGTTGGGTGATCAGGACTGAGACCGGGATCAGGGCCAGGACTGAATCCGGGACTGAGTCCAGGACCGGACCAGGACTAAGACCAGGACTAAGACCAGAACTGAGACCAGGACCAGACCAGGATGGAGACCGGTTTAGTTTGGATTAGGCCTGGTTTAATCCTGGTTCAGTTCTGGTTTAGACTTGGTTTAGACCTGTTTTAGTCCTCGTTCAGTCCATAGGCAGCACAAAAGTCCGGCATCGCAGTTTAAGTCACAGAAATGACCATTATCTGTTTTTTCCATTACTCATTTAAACACAAAATCGAAACCTGAAAAACCTAATTGTTATCTGTTTTTTCATTGGTTTTGGAGACAAATAATGAAGAATTTTTTTTTGTTTTTTCAATGTCTTATTATTGGTTTTATTTTGGAACACAGATTATCAGTGCACCTTTTTCTCTTATGTCTTTGCTTAATCCATATTCTAAAATTGTATTATTTTTTCCCCATGCATTTCATATGTCTATGTTTGTTCAAATTGAATTATCATTGTATGTCTCCAGGTTGTCTCCAGTTGAGGTTGCCACATTTAAAAACACAGAACCAATGTAATCAATTCACCAACAGTTTTTGAATCTGTAATTTGAGAATTTTGTAATTGAAAGTACACATTTATTTATTTATTTCATGTTTGAAGATAACAGTCTGAGTCTTTAAAAGTGCAACGCATCTCTCCAACCCCATTTAACCTTACATTCCTTAAGTGTGCTATTCGTGCTTTCTTACAGTCATGTCAGCGTCCATCTGTCCCTCCCGTCTTTACAAAACTAACTGTACAATCTCAGTACTTCTGGCTGTATAGGAGAATAATATGGAAAAGTAATAAATGCCATCTGCAATTCATTTTATATGTATCTACGTACTGTCATATCCTGCAATGTGATGCAAGTGGTGAACATGGTAATATACACAAAGTTACAAAAGTTAAGCAGGGTTAGTTTGTTGACATCATTGAATACCTTGCTTCATATGATTCAAAGTTCATAAAAGCACTCAACTTATATTTGGCAACATCCACACAGGTTACTTAACAAAAAAAAATTAGTCCAACTGATTTGACGTCAGTTACTAAGAGACCAAATTGTTGTATTGCTTTTAGTCTAAATGCCACGAGATAGAGAGGACTTTTTTGTAATAGTGCATTTTTTGTTCCAGCTTTGCATGAATATGGCCAATTTGAAGAAATAAAAACTAAAAATAATAAATCTATAGATTGAATAGATTGAAATAAGTGTGGATGTGGCATCTTGCTGATCAAACGATAGGATTCCTTCACCGAAAAAAAACAAACAAATTTCCAAGATACATCACATATTTTGTATATTATTATTCACTATTGTGTTAAGCTCTGAGATGGCTAAGCAAACTGTCTAAATGATAAACGAATGCTCCCTGCTTTAAATATATATTACACTATATACACAAAAGACATATATGCCGAGCTGCTCAGTAGTCCGAAATACTGGTATGATTCAACACAAACACTTTACATTACCCATTTTCAAAAGTAGTACAAATAAATAAATGATTATCAAGTTGATATTGCCTCCATGTTTTCCAGCAGTTCGAAGAGAGAGTGAGGTTGCTTGGGTTGTGGCAAAGGTGTTGGTGGGCTGGACCAAGTCGGTTTATTCCTTGAAATACCTGAAGTTGGTGAAGGCTATGAGAATGCTAGTGCACGTATGAATGAAGGCTGCGTCGGAGTCCATTAGAATCCGTCTGAATAGAGCCGGCATTGATAAAAATCTGTTATGAGCAAATATACAGTTGGAGTTTTCCACTGGGACTATCCAACGTCGAAAAAACTGACATTCGCCGAAAATGAAAGATAATGAACGCTCTGGTTGGGTGATAGATGCTTGTGTGGTCTTTTTATAGTGTGGAAGTTTGAAATCCATACGAATTCCTCAAGATGTTTCAAAGCTCGCGCTGTTCATCTGATGTTTACACAGTCTGGAGAACCAGCGTTGGTTCGTGACTCATTCGGATATTACAACATTTTAATATGATCGTGAATTTGAGTATTCGAGTGAGGGTACATGTAGACATTGTGTAACATGTTTCACAATACATTCGAGAAAAGAACGGTACGCAGCCTGTATGGAACTATTGACAACTTTACAACTCTTGGAAGCTGGTATTTGTTAATTCTTTTGCCTTTTACTGCTTGATAGTCGTGCTTTGAAAAAAATAATTCCATATTGCTGTTTCAATTCAACATTTTTCAAAGTTTGTTGGAAAAATAAATAAATTGGGTTTGAAAAGCTCCAACAAACCTTAACAGATACATTTTAAATTAAGAAAAAAAGACAATTAACCAACGTATGAGACTGGTTTCTGTAGTGATCCATGCAATGTCGCTAATGTGGTCTTTCACTTGTGACTGCTATATAATATGTTTTCATTACAGCATATTGGACTTTTTTATTTTTCAATCACGATCGGCCCTCTGCATTTGGCCCATCCGTCTTTGCCACTAGAGTAACCAATCAGCAGTAGTAGGCGACAACTGTGGATGAGAAACGCCCTGGGATCTTTCTACAAATCTTAGCTAGGTCCCAATTTGCCTATTGTGTGTTTACATTAAAGAGTTCAATTGCAAAAACAGATCTCAGTTTTGGAAAATAAAATGTCAAAAAGGTATTATTTTTAAAACACAACGGCCAACATCAGGGCAGCCCTGATGAAGACCAGATAAGGTTGAAACTAACAAATAAAGGCCTTTTAACTAAATTTTTCCTCATGCGATTTTTTACTTTTTCTACTTCTTTGGAGTGCCTGGAGTCCGTTGTGTTTTAGTTTTGATCCTTTTTCCAAGGGCACCCTCTACCTGCTCCCACTGATTGGAACACCTGCAGCGAACAGCCACATTTTTGTTCTTTTCGCACAAGGAATTATTTTTGTTTGTTTTCTTCTACAGATATCCTCAAGAAACATGACTATTGAGCGCATCTGAATTGAGCCGCTTCAACAAAATTTGAACGACATTTTAAAATTGTACATATATAGGCTGCACCTGAATATAAGCCACCGGTGTCGACATCTTCAAGAACTTTTTCAAGTTTGGGCCAAAACACAATCAAACTAGAATCTTCCTCGGCACATCACCCCCATCTCTCCCCGTGCTCTACTGCGCATGACTCCCGCAGAAAGAGCCTCTGTCATGTCTGTATCATGTCAGTGTCTTGTAGGAGTTCAGCAGATTTCAGATTTTCTGCGGCTAGGCTAGTTCTGTCAATCAGGTATGAGTAGATGTCCGGCTACTGAAGTTTGAGACGTTTCTTCTTGTCATTTATGCATACGGGTAAGACGTATCCCCCTCACTAATGTTCATTTAATATCATAACTTATTTCATCACATGGCAATAAACTATTTGAGTGCGCTGACAATATCACTTGCTAGTGTAGCAACTTCATGTTAACCCTAGATCCATGTGTTAACAGCACAGACAGCGACCAAATATATGAATGGACAATGTGCCAAACAAGAATCCGTCCATATATTCGACACATAGTTTTATTAGCTGCAGGGTTCAAAGTATGAGAAAAAAGTAGCGGCTTATAGTCCAGAATTTACGGTAGTATTTTGATTGCAGTGACATATAGTGTTTTTAAAATGACACTTGTCTGTTTTTGTGAATGAACCTTTTTTTTTTTTATTCTAGTTTGATTTAAGTATAGTCCTAATGTAGACTGGTTTTGGTCCTGTACTAGTCCAGTATAAGATTTGAGGTTTATTTCTAATTTGCTCCCAATTGGTGAACGCAGTTTTTGAAGGATGTGCCAGTCAAAATTATTTCAGCTTCAGGCCCAAATAGTTGTTGGATATTTGTCAAAATTAGATATCTCTGATCTAGGTGTACTGCATTTTCCACTTGATTGCATCATATTTTAAGCCTTACCATTGGAACATACTAGTAGTGAGCTGGAGGAAATATTAAAAAAACATGTCAAAACAAGCCTTAAAACTAAATTATGCTAACGATATCTGTTTTTTTGTAATGACGTGTATACCCTGCCTGAGAAAGATGTCCATGTGGAGGTTTTGACAACCTGAGGCAGGCTTTCACAGTTCATTCAGCCTGCTTTGTGGACCTCCTATATCTGCGATCCAGCCATTCAGCGCCGGAACTATCAAAATCCAGTGTTTCGACTTGGTTTGAATAGAATCTCATCAGTGCAGAGATGCAAAGATCTCAGAAAATTACACAAATACAGAAGTAAGAATGATAAAAATGTCTTCAGAGTTTTCACAACTTTGTCCACCATCGGTTTTCCTTCAGTAGCACCATTCTGTTTGGTTTAAGTGCTTCAAAGTTCCATAGTTCCATAGATCGATCAGCCAACCAACCAACCAACGAACCAACCAAAAACTGGCTTCCACAATCACAGCCACAACATTGGGTTTCCTTGTCCATAGAAAGTGCTAGCTAAGCCGCTCTAGGTCCAACAGCAGATTCCGTGTGTGGTAGGTCCATTCTATGCGGGTGTGAGTGAGGGTCTGTACATTAGAATATTACGGGCAGATTTTGACAGTGGAGCTGGCACTGTTCATATGGACTCTCATTTCTTGGATGCTAGTGATGATTTTCTTCTGGTGTCCGGCGAGGTTTACTCCGAACCCGTCGTAAATCCCTGAAGAACACAGAAAGGAATGGTTACAGGTCGTCATGGAGTTTACATAGGCTAAAAGTCAAATGTAAAAGAAGGAATCAAGTAGAGCTGTTTTCAGAGTTGAGAGGGCCCAATGCTTAATGCTTTGTGTGGAGATATAATTTGCTAAAAATGAGTCCTTGCATGAACCAGGTAAATGTCAAAATATATTTCACAAATGACTATTTTAAAGCTAAAAGGTTATTTGATTTTTTTTAGTTGATGGCATTTGTGAGAGAATGAGAATACAGCAATCCAATTACAGATTGCAGCTTTAAATGCAAAATAATAATTCAAAAGTAGAGCACTGTGAGGGCTCAATGTTAGATGTTCTTTTTCTGGATTTTACTTAATAAATGTACATTTTGTGGACCCACTTAGTGGCTTGGGAGGCTGTGTGTTTCAGAATGATAAAAAATTAGGACTGGTGTCATAGGAATTAACAATTCAAAACAAAATGATTACCGTATTTTTCAGACTATAAGTTGCTCCAGAGTACAAGTTGCACCAGCCAAAAAATGCGTTATGAAGAAGAAAACACATATATAAGTCACACCGAACTATAAGTCACACTTTTGGGGGGAAATTAATACAATCAGAAACCAGGAACCGACATTTCATCTTGAAAGGCAAGTTATAATAATAACAATAGAACAGAGAACAACAGGTTGTTACCATAACATATGAACAGTTATTCAGATAACTAGCTGTCGTCAGACTCAGCATCACTTCCAGTTAGAATTATTCCGGCCTTTTTGAATCCTGACAGGATGGTTTCGGTTGTCTTTATATTTGTTTACATTTTTAATTGTCAGTGATACAGAAGTAATGGTGCGATACCAGACAGTACAGAGGCTCTTTCTCTTTCTTCTGCAGCCGACATGCACAGTAGAGTGCGAAGTGACAGTGGTACAGGAGTACACAAGCCTAGAGCGCCCTCTCGCAGCTGTCAGTGTGAAAATTTTAACATATAAGACGCACCGGAGTATAAGTCACAGGACCACCCAAACCATGAAAAAAAAAAAAAAAAGCGACTTATAGTCTGGAAAATATGGTATATCTTTTGAATGGTCCTCAAAATATTATTTATAATAGGGATATGAAACCCAACCACAAAATAAAAGTGTCTTTCAACCTGAACCATGATAACATCATGTCAATACTAAAACCAACAAAATGCAGTGGAACAAGGACTGAACCACAAATCTCTGGGTTAGTGGGTGCTCAACCAACTAAACTACCGTGATATTTAGTGACTTACTCTGATGTCATCTGGGCCACAGTCTCCATTGAAGAGTACCCTCCCTCCTCGAAGAGCTCTGTGTAGCGGCCCATCTTTATAGAGTCCAGCCAGTCCCCCACAGTCTGGGTCCTGCTCGAGCAGTCTCCCTCCACACTGGCATGCTCCACCAGCAGGTTGGATACCCTGTAAACCACAACAAACATCAATACTATTACAAATCTTTAAAAAAATAAGAATAAATAAATACAAATAAAAATGCTCGGCTTTTTCATCATACAATCCAATCAACATCATATACTCCACTTTATTTCTTTGGCACATATACACTATAATCATCACAACTGTACACAGCAGTATTCCAATGTGTAACCACTCAAGCTTAAAGATGATTTTTCCTAAGACTAAAATGAGCCCAAATTCAAACTGAATCTGTGTCTGAACCCTTTGGAGTACAGTCAAATGGCGTGACTCTTTGTGAAGCTGAGCCTCTGTAATTTTGGCCTCTGTTTGATCTACTCTAATTATAAGTGGTAACAAGCTATGCACAAAGAAATATAAGATCCAGCTTCACTTTTTAACTAAATCTGTTGTCTGGAGGGATAGTCTAATAGACAGTACACAGCCACATTTTTGTTCTTCCAAAATGGACTCAGACTTGGGGCTCGACTCTGACTTGAAGATCAGTTACTTGGGATTTGATTCGGACTTGAGGCCTGTGACTTGTGACAAAAAAAAATACAGTATGTTTTTTGAAAATACTTTTCTCTTTGCAGTTGATAAATGCAGTGCTGAATTTTACAGGAGCAAACTGGAACATGTCCCTCCCACTTCTCTATTTGTTACTTTGGATGTAACTGATAAGATATCCTAAAATGTACTACAGTAATATATAGTATAATACAGTAATATCCAGTACAACACAGTAAACCAGAGGGAACTACAGAGAACATGATCTTTCATGACAAAATAACTGTTATTAAGCACTTTTAAATCTGAATTATGTTTATTCTGACTGTAATGATTCACAATAAATCTTGACAAGACATTTATATAAATAATTAAAAGTTTAGCTTAAAATTCTGCAAAAAAAAATCTTACTTTGGTTTAAAGACCTGAAATTACTTGAGGCTCAAAGCAGACGACTTGGACTTCACTTGGACTTATGGGCCAGTGACTCGAGACTCAGCTTGGACTTGCCTGTCTTTAACTTGGGAGTTGACTTGGACTTGAGGTCAAAGAACTAAGACTTACTTGAGACAACGACTTGGTCCCACCTCTGCTCACTAGTATTAGTATTGAATGTGCTGGTGTCACACTCTCAGATAAGGGCAGGAAGTACTTATTTATTCATTTATAGCATAAAAAAATACCAGCATAGAGATTCAATATTTATTTTTCTGCTGCATAAACAAAAACAATTACACAAAATTTATCACTGGAAATATGCTTCTAGTGCAAAGTTTCCCTAATACAACTAATATCCCCATTATGTCCACTCTTAATCGTGAAACTGATACGCACATTATACAAATGAGCTTGATCATGTTATTCTAATAGACTCAGATCAGATAATGCTTTCATTCAACTAAAATTATTAGATGAAGCCAAACAAATTAAAAACATCATTGCACACAAGAACATTTCCATTGTCGTTTCATTAAATCTTCCAACTGCAACATCGCGCTACATAAAGGATCCAAATGTGGAGATTGTTTTCAGATAACACTTCTTTAAACATAGAAAAAAGAGTGACCATTCTGACGCATTCTGTCTGTTTAGCCATTTAAAGTCCATTTTGATTTTAATTACAGAACAGAGTAGCCTTTAGTGCAGTCTCCACTTATACTTCCTCTGAATGATGATGGGCCTATTAACTGGCTGCAATAGCTTTAATTCACTTAAGGCCCGCGCAAGTCAATTAAATGTCTATTTGTTTGAACTATGGGAGGAGAAATGACGCTGTGTTCTCAAACAGGCCGACGCTCACGCTAATGGAATATAAAAAGGAAAAGTTCACTGTGTGTTACAACAATACAGCAGAGCATGTTGACTTTAGAAAGCATTTAAGATCCATAATGTAACCTTGTGATCATTAATAAAACATCAACAACATTAATAAATACAAATAAATAAATGAATCGTAGTATGTTGTTTCTCTTCATTCATTTACATTTATTATACAGTCATATAATTATGCCCTATTTGACACCAGTTTCTTGCTATCTTTTTTTGCTACTTATTTAGAATTTATTATTACCATTAATATTTTTTTTACTTTTTTTTTATTAAAATATATTGTGATTTGTGAGCTACTGTGTCCAAGTAATTTTGCTTGTGGATCAATAAAGTTTGTCTAAGTCCAAGTCTATTGTCACCACTTTCATTATTATATTTAGGCTACAGTTATTAGATAATTGCCCAGCACAAAGTCTTTAATATGTATTTTTCATTAGATAACATATAATGAGAGCCCACCAAGATGATTTGTACCCAGGACCCAAAATTTGGTGCTACACCCCTGGGAATCCTTTGTAGGATTTTGATTTTAAATTCCATAAACATGACCTGTGTCCCTAGATACGATATAGACATGTTCCAATCAAATATAGCTTTAACTGATAACAAGTATAATGCTGATTTGTTCTTAATATTCGATTGAGATTTGGGGCAATATATATAAGACTAATACAAATCCAATCATCACCTTGCAAAAAAAGGTAATTAGAGCAATCACATTATCAGCTTATAATGAAACCAACCAATGCATTATTTATAAACCTTCAAACTTTGAGATTTTACAATTTAGTCGAAGTTTACACTTTGAAAATAGAAAATGTAAACAACAATCTCTTGTAAAAATCATTACAAAATGTTCAAAATCCAAATTGCTAATATGGCTATGTTCAGACTACAGCCTGATGTGACCCAAATCCAATTTTTTCACCCTATGCGATCTGTATCTGTATATTTTAATGACAGTCTGAACCACAGAGATCCGATTTTTTTCAAATGCGACCCAGGCCACTTGGATATGTGCTCCTAAAACCGATAAATATCTGATCTTTTGACATGTGACTTCAGTCTGAATGGCCAGGTTGCATTCATCCCACCTGCACGTCAAATAGGCACTCACAAATGAACACTAACTTTCTTCTCGTCATATGAAACTTGTGTATGAACTCCATGTCCGTGAAGCAGCGAAGCACATAGCAGTCCCACCACTCTTGGCTGTGACTCCGCACCCACATGTTCCTTTCTACAGACGGTGCTGCCACTGCCTCACAAAACGCCATGGCCAAAAACCTCATCCTTCTCCTTCTCAATCTCTTCCTTTAAACAAATAAACTGGCTCCGGTACGACACCATCTTTAAAATGACCAGGTGCTCAGTGCTAGCGACCACGTTTAGGCAATTTCCGTAAACACTGAGCACGCTTGCTGCACGTGACGTAATGGTGTCCTCCAATGTGAATGGGGGACACTTTTGGGGCATTTAAAGTTCACACTGGAGATCACATTTCCAATTAAATACAACTTGTATGTGAATGACCTTGCAATAAAGTCAGATTTCACACAAAAAATCTGAATTGAGCATTAAGCCCTGCAGTCTGAACGTAGCCTATGAGCTCAGAGGTACGGCCATGTTTGTCAAAAAGAAAATCAGAACAAACATTATGAAATTTTGTATTTCTATTAATGGAGTGGACCTCTGGAACAGCTGTACAGAAAACCTAAAATTGTGCACCACTCTCTTCTATTTTATAAAAAAGTTTAAATGTTTAACTCTGGGCAGATACATGAATTATGATACTTAGTTTGTGCTGTAGTACTTTGTTGTACTGTTACTTATTTGTTTGTTTCCTCTTGCTGTATTTATGAAGATGAACTGATGTCAAGATGATGCTCTGACAAAGGAATTAAGGATAGGCATAATAAGCTCAAACTTCAGCCTACACCTTTTCGGTCAGTGTATGTTAAATATGACTGTGTCTGTGAAATTATGTCAGAATATCAGTCAATCAATAATAATAAAAACATTGGACATGATATCCAAGTTGTTTATGTTATAATTTGGTGTTTTGGTTCTCAAGATAATTATCCAATCAGAAGCTTCAATCTAAAATTAACCTCTCCCATCTGAATCCTCACAAACTAAACCCCAGCAGCCAGTCATTAATCAGTATTTAGTCTATGCTATCCATACTGACAATGAGAAAAACTACTACTACTACTAAAAACTACTACTGTTTACAGGTTAAGCCACCTGCAACCCAAGGTCATTTCTGATTATAGTCCCCTTTTTAAATCAGTAAGAGTGCACGGTACATACATATCCTTTAATAATACTGTGTCAAACCAACATACTATGTACTGAAATCAAAATATTTCAATTCTAACTCATGTTTATTCATCAGTCCCACCCCAGTACCTGTGCGACGAGTTGACCAGCTTCTTTAGTGAACTGGGGTTGCGGATGAATTTGTCCAGCAGGCAGACTATCTCGTCAAACTTGGGCCGATTGGTGCGTTCGCGTTGCCAGCAGTCCATCATGAGGTGGTACAGGGCCTCAGGGCAGTCCATGGGCCCGGGCAAACGGTAGCTCTCCTCCACCGCCTTTATAACCTGCCAGACACATGGAGAAAAATACAAGAGACAAACAGGTGAGAGGTGGACATAAACTGGACTAAGTAGCTGTCAGAGAGTGTCTGTATCTTCATCTGTCTTCAGGAAAAAGAAGAGAGAGAAAAAGTAGCGCCTGGTTGTTGCAGTAGTAATGGGTAAGCTTGATTTACGGCTAACAAGGGCGAAGTGGGTGCAGTATCCCCTTAAGTCGAGATGCTAACACGGGCAAGGTGAAAAAGAGGACATGTAGTCTTAATAGGCAACAGAATCACAAAGAAAAAGTGCTTGCGAGAACTGTGGTTATCACTTTTTTGTGCCAGTGGGTGAAACGCCATCCACCAAGACAAAGGGAAAACATGTAAACCGAGGAATAGAGTCCTGCCCAGGTCCATTTTTGGAGACCCACACCCGCCCGTTAACCCGTGATTATTTCAAAGTTAAACCCGCACCCGCCTAAACCCGTTAACATTCCACCCATTACCCACCTGTGCCCATGATAAATCACACACAAATTAAAAGGATTCTAACTCAACCATCCATCAGAATATGAATTGGAAAGTTACGACTTCAAGAATTACAATCACGAAATGAAATGAAACGGTTACGCTTTCTTCAGTACGAATGCGAATTCACAGACGCGACTTGACTGTCATCACTTCACACGCATTATTTACTGAGCAGCAGAAACATTGATCGAAATGCCAGGATGTTGCACCGCACACGCCACGGACTGAACCAGGACTAACCCAGGACTAATGCAGTACTAACCCAGGACTAAACCAGGACTAATCTAGGTCTGATCCCAGGCCTGAACCAGGAGGAGTAAACCAGGACTGAACTAGGACTAAAACAGGATTAAACCAGGAGTAAACCAGAACTGAACCAGGACTCACTGTCGGGGCGGGCTCGGACGCACCCCTGCATAGACCATCGGGTGACCGTAGGCGAAAGGACCGGCACAGAGCTCCGCGCTGACATAGATCAGTAAATAACACAATACAGGTCCTTAATGCAGTGTTTCCCAGACTTTTTTTTTTCTGGGGACCCACCCAAAAGTCACAAATCTTCGCGACCCAAGTCAATAGACATTTTTCATAAATCACAAAATAAATTTGTGACCATTATTGAACATTAATGAGGATATTTTATTGTTGACTCATCATGTCTCTCTGAACAATTAGAATTACCGTATTTTTCAGATTATAAGGTGCAATATCAGTCATGTTGAACTCTCTCATCTATTTTCATACATAAGGTGCACTGGATTATAAGGTGCATTAAGTGACACAAATGGATGACACTTGAGACTGTTTTATTTCCTATGAGGAGAATTTAAATATAGATTGAGTAATAATGTGTTTAATTCAGCTTTGCGCACATTTGTTTACATTTTACAGAAATTAAACTTAAAACCACATGGATAATTTGCATAAACTATAAGTGATAAAAAACAGCTCGTTCCTTGAGCGCTGATGCGGTCAGCTTCTGTTGGACTAAAGGACACGACTCAGTGGAACATATGTGAAAATTGGTTCGAGGTCAGCAAGCACAACCAAAATTAATAAAACGCACTGTCGATTTTTGAGAAAATTAAGGGATTTTAAGTGAGCCTTATAGTCCAAAAAGTATGGTACTCAAGTTTTAAACAAGGAAAAACAGTAATCAGTGTTTCCCTCAGAAAACTGGTTAGGCAAGGCGGTGCTGCTGAAAAAGTGAGGAGCGGTCCAGACCCAGTCTTTGGGAAATGATGCTTTAATGTCATTCTTGTGAGTAATAATTGATATAAAACTATCTTCTGTGGGTAATATTTTTGAAGTAAGAAGGCATTGTGAAATTTCCATTTATGTTTCCTACCTAATTTCCTTTTCCTTGCTTGACCACCTAATTACTATATCACTTACCAATAGATTAATTGCTGTACAGGACATTGCTTTGCTTTTCACTTTTTTACTGCATCTGTATGGACAACACCAGTAACTTTTCAGCACCACTACAATATCTCTCTCCCCGTTCCTGAATCTTACATTTGAGAGACGCATTGTGTGAAGCCACTGTTTCCAACTTGTAGAGAAGACATTTTGTTTGACACATTCTCAGCTCCTCATCGCCGCGGGGACTGTCAGCAGCTGCCAGAGCAAAGCGCCGGGAGAAGATCTCTGAAATCCTGGTGGTACCATAGCCCCCGGGCAGTTGCTCTCCATCTGACCCCAACCTCCTACCTCCAAAACCAGCACGACTCCCCCAAAATTACGCCAATCATCGAAACAACCCCACCGTTTTTATTTGTTTACGTAATTTACCCCTGTGCAGTTTTAAGGGTCGATATTACGCTATTTTCTGTTTTAATGTTGTTTCTTTATCACAAACTGTATCTGGAGTTGTGTTTTGTTTCATTCACACAGGCCATATGGTAATACAGGAAGTGCTCCACTGTGTTTTTAAACTCCACACATCTTCACTACAATAGTTTGGATAATTTCAGCCCTGGAATTGCCCATTTCTACTTAACTAAAGGTAAAAAGGTAGCGGCCTCTATCTGACCCCAAAACCAACTTCCAAAACCAGCATGACTCCCCCAAAATCATCAAAACAAGCTTAGCTCTTTTATTTGTTTACGTAATTTACCCGGTGCAGTTTTAATCATCTTAGAGAAGCTTCTTTTGGGGGCTGTGAAAATTGTTAGATGAATAATGAATGAATAAATCTTGGGAGTTTAAACCCTGCAAGTTCCCAGTTCCCAGCCTTGTTCTGCCAGTGTGAGACGCAGAGGGGAATTCATTTTTCGAGTTCATGACAGTTTTTACTTGTGTCAAAATCCACACTAAAGACAGACTGTGAAATGCAACGCACGCGCAAGAAGGGAAGGGTGAGACTGCAAATCAAATTACCGCTGAGATGAGTGGGAGGAAGGGGAGATCACAGGAGGAGCCGAGGGGAGAGGGAGAGAGGGGTTGTGTCAAATAGACTGGCATGGCACTGTTAAAAAGGGTCAGTGGAGTGAATAGAGAATACGATGCACTGTACTGAGTGTGTGGTCCACTGTCAAGAAGTAGAGATAATTGAAGCATTATGCTGGTTGGACAGAAAAGAATTATTCCAACCAAAAAGCAGGTTGCTATCTTGAGCATACCAAGCTGAAGTCATACACTGTTGTGTTTTTAAAGGGCCCATATTACACTATTTTCAAATCTATGTTATAATGTTGTTTCCTCATCAAAAACATACATGGAGTTGTGTTTTGTTTCATTCACACACGTTTAACACACCCTGCATATTTAGGCTGAGTTCTTCTCTCAAATAGAATACCTTGTGATGTCATTTTTTTTAAAAGTTATGTTTATGAAGGACATCACAATCACATTAGACAAGCCAGATACATTGCTTTGAACGATTTAACACAAGTGCAAGTTTTCACTAGCCTGATTTATCAGCTGGTTTCACTTCGTGGGAAACCATCTGACCTCGCAGCATTAGGATCCGTTCGCTCAATGGTAGGTGGGGCTTTTTTTAATTTAACCAATCGCTTCTATTTGATCGTGGCATATGTAATGCGCCGCTAACTGGGCAAACTGGTATATTAAGCTTTTCCCAAATCCCGTAGGAAGAAGGGCAATAACGTCTTTCCCCTTGATGAAATTCATCAAACATTCTCTTTGTTCCGACTTTAAATCCTCGACCTCGGGAATCGTTGCCAACACAGAATGTATGGCTCTTCGCTGATTGGCTGGTGCCTGGACTTGAACTTCCGAGGATTTTGCGAACCATCTTGTGTATTCCGATTCCTGACCGAGTCACTGGATAAAAATGAAATTGACTGGAGGCACTAGATGGCGCCAGCCTGGCTAAGTTTTCAACACCTGTTCATATAAAAAAATAATAATAAAAATCTACAAGACAAGACACATAAGTTACATACAGATAAAATATATACAGTCCATTTTCAGATTTTCAGTGGATGCATTTTTCATTGGAAACATAAAATCAAAATTTAATTTAATACGATTTAAATTTGTTGTTATTGGTTTCAAATTTTAAATCATCTGGTGAACAGTTCCACAGTCTGGCCCCTTTAGCAGAGAAACGACTGGCAAAGAGTTTTCCTGTACATAGGAACAAACACAGTTACCACTAGTAGCACCTCTTGTGTTAGGTCTGTGTGTACAGTTTATGGTCTTGGCCAATTCTCAATACAGTGGTGTATCCCAGTTAAGACACTTTCAAAAAGCATTCAAGATTATTAAAATTGAAAATTTCAAAGTTTATTTCAAAGTTAAAAATTATGTTATGTTTCTTTAAAATTTCACAGTGCCAGTGTCTGGGCTTTTTGTCAAGGACCTTAAGGGTCATTTTCTGTGACCTATGTCATGTGGTAATACAGGAAGTGCTCCACTGTGTTTCTAAACTCCACACGTATTCACTAGAATCATTTGGAGAATTTCAGCCATGGAAGCCAAACTCTACTGAACTAAAGGTAAAAGGTAGCTCAAAAACTACCTCTCCATCACATCACAAGGTGGAACTGAGCATTTTGAGCTTTGAGCAACCCTTTACTATTAATTAGTGAGCCTACAACTCCAAACATGTGTGAATGAAACAAAACACAACTCCAGATATGTTTTTGGTGAGCTAACAACATTCTAACATGACTTAAAGCTCACAAGAGTTAATTTTGTGTAATAAAGGATCTTCAAAGTAACCAAAAGTGGTACATCACCCGCATGATTCAATGGAAAGTAACAGCTTATACTTGCAAAAAGTGCTGATGGAAATAAGATACGTTCTATGCCATGTGGAATATTATAGCCAAAGGAACAGCATTTCCATGGAAACAAACATGACCTGGAGTCCTCCTCACGGCCAAATAAGATTTAGTCAGAGCAAGGATACAATGTTTGTGTGTGTATGTGTATGTGTTAGAGCAATAAAACATTAAAAACATGCTTTCATTGTCTGTTTTTGGCTAAAACGTTACTAGGTGGAGTTTTAATGAATTAAAATAAATGAATGCAAATAAAAAAATCTAACGTAAAAATGTCCATTACGTAAGAGAATTGTGTCTATACCAAAGAGAGCCCTATGAGCACCGTAGCAGCTGTAGGTATACAAACTGCAATAGCAAAATAACAGAATTTACATTTAGACTGAGTGTTGTCCAGGAATTAAATCCACATCCTTGCTCAGAGGCAAGTTAGATATTAAGCATTAATTTGTACCTTAGCTACATAACTAAGCCATTTTCTTTAATATCATAATTTAGAAGTTCAAAGAACTTTATATTTATTAAAATGCATAAGGCAAAAGGTACAAAAGTCATACAGCATAATGAATTCCTCATGTACATCCAGCATTTTAAATTTTACTAACACCATTCTTGCACCTAACTCTAGAAACACTGCAAGTTCCTACACTGTGGGACTAATACAGATTTTTTTTTTTTTCTAACAATTCACATAGTTGAAGTTATCACAGATGTGTCACAAACAGAGGTGGGTAGAGTAGGTAAAAAACTTCAAACGTCAGTACTTCAAAATAATAATACTCAAGTAAAAGTACACAATAGTAAAGTAGTGGTCCAAGAAATTAGACTGTTTCATCAGCTGGTTTCACTTTGAGGAAACCGTCTGACCTCGCAGCATTAGAATCCGTTCGCTTGACGGTAGGTGCGTACTTTTTTTTTAAATTAACCAATCGCTGTTATTTGGTCATGACGTATGTAATGCACCGCTCACGGGGCTAACTGATATATTAAGCTTTTCCCAAACTTTGTAGGAAGGAGGGCAATAACGTCTTTCCTTTTGATAAAATTTACCAAACATTCTCTTTGTTCTGGCATTAAATCCTCTCTCGGGAATCGTTGCCCACACAGAATGTGTGGCTCTTCGCTGATTGGCTCTCGCACTTCCGGGGTTCTTGTAAACCATCTACTGTATTCCAATTCTTGACCTAGTTGCTGGAGAAATGAAATTGAGAGGAGGCACTAGGTGGAACCAGCCTGGCTACCAAGAAATTACTCAAGAGTAAAAAAAAGTACTTGGTAAAGTACAGGTAGCGTAAGAGGTAATATCATGTTTTAATGTTAAGTTAATGTCATTGGAATAATAAAACAATAAAAAGAAAACTTTAAATATTGAATTTTCAAAGGATGTACCACAAAAGTTAGAACAAACTATATCATATCTGAAGGAGCGGTGCAAGAAACATGAATGTTAAAATCGCCAACATAAAGCTTCTGTCACTCGTTAACTTACTCACAGTGGGAAACGTCACCAATTTATTTACCCAAGTAAGAATACTGTTACTTTCAGACAAAATACTCCTCAAAGTAGGAGAAAATGTATGGTGTCTCTTAAAAAATGACTCATATGAAGGTAACTGAGTACTAAAAACACATATTGCAGTAAAAAATATACACAACTTGATCTGCACTATAATGACTCAACGCATTCAAAATCACCAATGACTTTTAAGCGAATGAACTTGCAAAGTAAAACTCGATGAAGACATTTCGCGAGACGATTGAGAGGCAACTTAATCTGTGCGCGGGAGGGGCGGGGTGTGCCGGTGCTCAGGCTCTGGCTCTTCTCCGCACAGATCACAGAAAATCCGCCATAACGCTTTCAATTAAACATCAAACGGCAGCTCTCCTCTCTGCTCTCATCCTCGGCGAGCTCATCTCCAGACTGCTGCTAGACAGAGTGCCTAATAACCCTGGGCGGCAGAGAGGGGGCGGCTGGTGGAGGAGGGGTGATAGAGAGAGGACGGGTGCTGGTGGGGGTGAGGGGGTGCACCGGGGTCAGCGCCGGGGTGAGCGTGCGTGTGCGTGTGTGTGTGTGCGGGTGGGAGCTAAACTTTTAACTCTATTGCACAGTGTTAAGAAAGTAAGCCATCATCGCTTCTCTTCTTTGGAACTTAAGTGGGGACTGCTAATGCAATTTGAAGGCAAGTGGTTTTTGAATGGCTAAATGATGATGGTGAGAAAGTAATTTTTGCGTACTAGATTAATTATGTAATCTAAACTACAGATATGCTCTTTGTAAATATTTGTAAAGTCTTGTGATCAACGTACAAAAGCAACCAGATAATTTGGAAACTTTGTGATGAATAGGGGCACATTAACTTAAGTTTTTCTTCTTCCCACTCCTATTGCTTTTCTGTTATTTACAACATTGTTTCCCAAAGACTGGGTCGCGACGCTCAGGTGGGTCGCAAGAGATTTTTTTCGGGTCGCCTTGTCATGATCTGCATGTAGGTCTGCAGCATAGACCACATGTATGAATGGACATAGCTAAGGTGCTAGCCGGCCGTGTGCCAAATAGGAAGTCCATCAGGAGGCTCTTCTGACTCCTTCTGACTCTAGCTCCAATTGACTTACATTAGGATCTTTTCGCCCCTCTATCTGTAAGTGCTGCAGTGAGCCTCGTCATTTTGGTCTTAAAACGTTTGTATTAACCCGCTCTACATGATCCAGATTTTTTATTTTTTTGCTATTTTGTTCGTCAAAAAAATCCTATTCATAACATAGAGCCTGACTCCAAATTCGCTTCTGTAACCACTAGCATCGAGAGCCTCATTTGAGCGGCGCTGAACGTTATGGGTGACGTCACACTCACTTTAGTCCACTTCTTTTATACAGTCTATGGTCTGCAGTATACAGTTCTGACACTGATATGCGTGTTGCGCTCTCCTCCTGCAACCCAGACTGGAATGCATTACAGAAACGCAGACAGGTCCACCTATCTCATTAGAAATGTTGAAAGACATGTTAAGACATGTTATGTATAATTTGTAGTCTTTTTGTAATTATTATTTTATTGACTATTTTGTTCCAGTATTGCTGGTTCAAATGAATATTGACTTATGGATAATTGGACTAACTGTACAGAAAGACACAAGTCACTCAGTCAACAATAAAATATCCTCATTAATGTTCAGTAATGGTCAAGTCCACCTTTATTTTGTTTTATTACACATAATGTCTATTGACTTGGGTTGCGAAGGTTTGTTACTTTTAAAATACGGGCCCCCAGAAAAAAGTTTGGGAAACACTGGTTTACAATATATATATATATATAGTATGTAAATGTTTCTCTCTCTCTCTCTCTCTTAGCACAAACTTGAAATAAAAACAAAATCAATCAACTATGAGCACCACACAGTGTAATTAAAATTATGCCACAAATAATTAAAGTAGTATTGTATAACTTTTCTGGTTGGTGGTCTATTCTTGGATACATTAGTGTTGGTCTTTTACAGAGTTTGGAGCAAGTGGAAAATAACATTATGGTATGGTTAAAACCTTCAAAAAGAGTAGCAATAGAATTTAAATATTGAAAGCGTTCAAGCATCGCCATGCAACTTTTTAGCTGTAAAAGACTAAAAGCTTTTTTTATTTAGTTGTTTTTATTACACTGAAAAACTTGGCAAAACGTGTGTCCTTACTCTGAGCAGACTCTTGCTTGTTACTTGTTTCTAATGAAATGTTGTTCCTATGGCTATAATCTTCCACAGTGCGGCATAAAACATCCATCCCCTTGTAAAATGTTCTTACTCTTTCCATGAAATCATGCAGGTGACATGCTGCCTCCAGAAAGTTGCATGCTGAATGTGGGCACGGCAAATGCAGAGCAGTACTAAAACTACTGTGGTTAAAAAAAAATAAAAAAAATCCACTAAACTAAATGTGCCATACAATACTACAAATATGACAAATTTTCCACAACTGCACTATATGTCACTTTCCTGGACAGAAATAATATGATGGCCTTGTTAAAAGTAAAATAAAAAAACAAAAAACACAACAACAAAAAACATTACAACAATAGACCTTTAAAGTTTCCATTCCATTTCCAGTATTCCATTGACTCTAATAATATTTGGTTGCTTTTTGAAATTATGCAAGAACTAAAATGTACTTTCCACCACACTTAGAACTCGCTGAAATCCTGCTATTACACTAATGAACACATCCCAAACCCAACTCAGAACCCAATATCTGCAAATAGCCAGCACCACCTCGAATACACACAGCATGTAACCTGGAAATAATTAGCCTAATGAACCACTGGCTACACTGCTGGGCTGGGACACTTCTTCTTTCTTTTTCTTGTAATTGCACAGAGGCTGAATGCACACATGAGCTTGATACAAAGACATATGGTATACTTACATCCTGGTTAGACATCTCCCAATATGGCCGTTCTCCGTAGGACATGACCTCCCACATGACGATGCCGTAGCTCCACACGTCACTGGCCGAGGTGAACTTTCGGTACGCGATGGCCTCTGGGGCGGTCCAGCGGATGGGGATCTTTCCACCCTAAAGGAAAAAAAATAAAAAATTTGCTAATTAGGGGGAGAAAAAGGCAAAAATGTATTAAAAGTAGTGTAATAGAATAGTGTATGTGAATTAGATGTAATGTCTGTGTAATTAGTATTATTGAAAATGATTATGGTTAATGGTCACATTTTTCTATAGCGCTTTTCCACCTTCAGGGCACTAAAAGGGCTTTACAATAAGAAACCACTCAGCCATTCACACACTCATTCATACTCCAGTGTACGCAGACACTGGGGGCGAGGTGGGTTAAGTGTCTTGCCCAAAGATACACGACAGCATTCATATGTGGGAGCTGGAATCACAACCTGTGGGTTAGTGGATCTGACCGCTCAATCCATGATGTTTATGTCGAGAACAGGAATCAAACCGTCAACCTTCAGACCAGTAGACAAATGCTCTACCAACTGAGCTACTGCCAATTAAGTCAGTATATCTTCTGAGGTTTTATTTTTTGTCAATGAATGGAATACAAAAACTATGAAGAAAAAAAAGGGAATTAAACATCAAATGTTCTCAGTGTCCTCAATTTTTGTTTTAAAAGTGGGCTTCTTTGAATACTAGAACTGTTGTTAGGGACTTTTGAATAGAATCTAAAAGAGATTCGGCTGATTTCATTAAATAGCAAATATTATCCCCTTAACGTCGACTGTCATAAATATGAGAAAAACTGTTTGGATCAAGATATGAGCCGAGATAGCGGCTGCATTCCCCCAGTGCCAGTTAGTGCACATGCAGGACCTCCCTAGGAACCTTTGGCAAGTACTTGTTTCTAGTTGTCACACATTTGCAACATACTCAAATTTCTTAATTTACCATCTACTTAAAGGCAAAACCACATACAAAACTTTTTTTTTTAAAATACATATATACATTTCTATAAATTCAGGCATTAAGGTTATGTTGGCGAAAATGTTAAGCACTTTAAAAAGTGTAGCTGTCATATTTATTGGTAAAGGTTAATAGTCACATACAGCACTTTTTCACCTTCGAGGCATTCAAAATGCTTTACATCAATGAACCACTCACCCATTCACACACACATTCATACTCCAGTGTACGCAGACACTAGGGGCAAGGTGTGTCAAGTGTCTTGTCCAAAGACACAACCGCCAAACAGTGGATCTGAGCAGTCAACCAATGATGTTCATGTTAAAAGTGGGATTCGAACCACCAACCTTTACAATAGTGGACAAACACTGTACCATCTGAGCTACTGTCGCCTATATTTACTGCATCTATGTTTTGTGCTGTAGTCTTAGTAAATTATATGCATTGAATTGTTTGATAATGTTTCATTTTATTTGTTAAAAAAAAGAAAAAAGGCCTGCTAAAAGCTTCTTGCATAGGACCTCCACAAAGCTAAAAACAACCCAGATAAGAAATCAAGTTTTAAAGTAAGTTACAAAACATTATAAAACATGTGTGCACAGCCTAGTTCTCAAACATTAACACTCTTTTAAAGCGCAAATGAAATCAAAACAAAGAAATCTGTCGTACACTTCCCCATGCACAATTCCACTAATGAGGACCAATTCAGACACACATTAATGACATCAAATCTTACATTCTTTCACGAGCCCCAATCCCTCCCCCTCCATCCTAACTGTCGGGGGCCTGCGATTCCTCTACATCTTTCGCCTCGTCTTCATTATCATGCTTTCATTGCAGAAGATAGAACAAGTTCACGAGATCACCGCTGAGCTCGGAAGGAACCCGCGCTTTCGGTGATGAGTGGCGAAATTAGCCTGATGCGGCATTGATGGAAATAAGCGGAAGGATATCTTAGGACCTGATTATTCGAAGGGTGAGAATGACTGAGGAGAGAGTCAGGAGGAGAGGATAAGGAGGCGAGGTGACTGGCAGCTCTTCCAGCGCGATGGTAGAGCCGGAGAGGGTGTTAATTGAATGTTGTGGAGACTGAGCGGTTTTGCTAATTGGGCCTTCGTCTGTCGGAAAAGGGGTTGACAGGTTGACTCCGAGTTAGGAGCGACTTAATTTAAGAATCCGCCGCTGCTGTGTCTGTGTTTTCCTACAGTGTGGACTTCCCGGTTAGAATTTGATAGGTAGCACACAGTCACACAGATGCTGCACTTGGGAGATTGGAGTGAGTGTAGACAATCAACATGGCAGCACAGTTTTGAGATTATTTTATTCCCAAGAAGTGTAGTGCTTGTCAAAACAAACCCCAAACTGTGAATGTAACCAGTTCCTATACTACAATTTTGAATGGGTTTACAGTGGTACTGAAAATGATAAAAAGGAGATGTCAGTGTACTGGTATGACTGAGAACATAATTGTACTGCAATACTTGGAAAACTGCTATCTTGACCAGTGGTATGTTTTGTTGTTGTTGTTGTTTTGCCATTCTACTTTTTCCCCCCCCTTTTTTGTGTAAAATGTTCATATTTTAATGATTCTTTGGGCTTGTTCAAACCATAGTCATGGTTCAAACTTGGTTCATTAAAACTTAAACCTGGTTTAAGTCTAATACGGACCTTCTAATATAGATTTGTTAGTCATGATTTGGATCTTTCATTGACGGTAGTCAATAAAAATTAAGTCAATAATAATAATAAGGGCCTGACAGATATACTGATTGGCCAATATTATCGGCTGAAATGGGCACTTGAAGACATATCGGCTATTGGCCTAAATTTTTTTTAGTTTATTTGTTTATTTATCAGGGACAATGCACATAAAAAACATGTGCACATGCTTGTGCTAGGTTTTAGCAAAATTGCTCATTTCCACCTTCAGTCCTTGGACAGGCTGATGTCATAAATGGTGCCCATGGCAATAAAATACAATACAATGTATATGATGCAACCATTCATCCAGTCAATCAATAAGTAAAACTATAGTCCCATTCAGTCTCAGTCACCACATCTACACAGTATTTCCATATTTACAGTTCATATTGCTGCATTCATACAGGGCAGATTAATGTGTACAGGTTTCTTGCCAATATGGGCTGATGGTCCACATGAGCAGGTTATACCTCGTTATGAAGCTTAGACTCTCTATGTTATGCCCATTTAATCCAATTTACAGACAGATAAATGTCTTAATCTGTGGCGCTGCATCAGTATTTATCAGAGGAGTAATTTATCTGAGTCTGTGATGCCATATTGCCCCTGAACGCACCCCCAGAGTCATGTCAATCACATGTGCTTGTTTACACACACATGCTGGAATATATTATATTTACGAACAATTGTTTTGAGTCAGGATTAAAAGGACACTGATTTGTGAAGATTTGTATTTTGAGAGGAGCCTCTATGAGCGGTGAGTGTTGCAAATGTATCGGTTTTAGAGCTACTTTTGGTTCTTTCTCATTGGTTAGCTCTTAGCTGCTATAGCTCCCACACATAAACAGCCTGTTTTCTCTTTCATTGGCCTAGTGTAAAGTGACTATAATGGCTGTACACACCCACATTGATATGTAAATGAGCTGTGAATAGATGTGTGAATGATCGGCATTTACGCATAATAAATTATCATGGCTCACTTGCATTTACCGCTTTACTTACTTTCTTTACTGGCTAGAATGTCATGCAAACATGCCAATAGGCCGACCTACTGTCTTTAAATATGACTGTGAAGAGGCAGAATAACAATAAATGTAGCCTAAATAAACCCAATAAACAATCCAGTAGAGCCAGACCTAAATTTTAATGAACTGAAGATTTATAGTGAATTTTTACATCACAAAATATATTGGCTTTTATATCGGTATCATATTGCCCTCAAAAAAAAAAATCCTTATCGGCCGGGCCCTAATAACAATGCATTGTAACGCAAGCACACTCCTTTTTGAGAAATGTGCTTTTCTGTTTTTACAATGTATATGTAGTATGTATATAATTATTGTTTCTCTCTTGGCACAAACTCAAAATAAACCAAATCAATCAATCAAAAAAGCTTTACAGGGCTGTCAAAGTATCTCAATTATTATCATCATTATTCATTTATTTCACACTCTGATATTACACTATTGTAGCCACTGATGTCCTGGGGTAGTCTAACTGAAGAGAGGCTGCCAGTCTATGCCATGGCCCCTCTGATCACCACCAATCACTCGTACTGGGTTGGACTGACATGCAAAGTACCCTGCTTATGTCTCTATAGCCTATTATAATTGTCCTCCATGGTCTCTTCTGACACTCGGGAGGTGTCCCTGGATGTGTGATCACAAATGTCCCCCGACGCACTAATGCAGGTGTCAATGTGTTAGCATGTGACAAAGATGTACAGTATATATGGATCCACAGAACAGGCGATATGCTTTTAGAGCAGCAAGTTACATTACATTTCACCGATACCACAGAGAAGGCAACTTTTATGTATTTAATCAGAGAACTGAACTGAAAATTGTCAGCAGTAAATGTTCAAATGCTCTCTTTGCATGCAAGGTGTATAAAGAACATTTGCCAAAAACAGGAAGTATTGTTGGATATTTGTAATCTAGAAATGTTGAATGTCAAAACAGAACTAGATGCAATGAAAAAGTAGCTTAAATCAGTTAGTATTCCTCAGTAGTGCCAAGCAATCACAGTTTGGAAAAAAATAAAACAAATCTTCATTTTTAAAGGAGACATATTATGCAAAAATCAGCTTAAATTAGCTTTTGACCTTTGTGGCCTCATCATTACCTCACTCAAAGTTGTGTTCTGATTAATTCATGCATATTTGAGTAATGCTGTGTTGTCCTGCATATCTGAAAAATGAAGTCTCTGAGTCATACATTTAGGTTTCTGAAAAGTCAAATGGTTACTTTCCAAAAAAAATACACAGAAAAGTGAAATGCCACTGTGAAAAGGCCTATCACTTCTGTAATTTTGAACAGGAAAGCAATCACCCTATTTGTATAATTAGCAGTCTTAGATCAATATTTGGTTTTACAATTACCATATTTTTCAGACTATAAGTCGCTCTCTGGACTATAAGTCACACTTTTGGGAGGAAATTTATTTTAGAAAATCACAGACCAGGAACTGACATTTCATCTCGAAACGCAAATTATAATAACTATAGAATAACTATAGAATAGAATACAACTGGCTGAAAAGGCGTCTGGTATGTTAACGTCACATATGAACAGTTATTCAGATAACTATAGCATAAACAACAGAACATAACAAGTTTACCAAACTCTCCATCTCACTCCAAATCACTAAATTCATTGAATTCACTTCTGAGCAACTCTGCGATCTCTGAAGGTAAACGGAGCACCACTTCTTCTTCTGTGTAGCTATCGTCAGACTCAGCATCAGTTGTAGTTACAATTATTCCAGCCTTTCTGAATCCCGACAGGATGGTTTTGGTTGTCACTGAAGTCCAGGCTTTGTTGTTCCATCCAGTGACTTCCAGGAAAGTTGCATGGTGCACCCTCCATTACCGTGAAGATGTGTTCTCCAAACCCTGCTTTTCTGCCATTCCCTCACAAGTTTCTCACTCACTCCAAACTTTCTTTCTGTTACTTGATTACTGTTTTTGGCTGCATATTTCACTATTTGCAGCAGGACACATGCAGGAGACATGCGGAGTAGAGCCAAGTGACAGTGGCACAGGAGTGTGAAAATTTTAATATATAAGTCACACCAGAGTAAACATTGCAGGATCACCCAAACCATTAAAAAAAAGTGTGACTTATAGTCTGAAAAATACGGTAGCCAGATGTAAAATGATGATGTACTTACAGTATATTTCAATACTAAGTACCTGAATAAAGGTATGTCTTCTTAAGTCCTATATTATGCAAAATGACTCTCTTATATTATAATATGGGCCTTTTAACTGCCAAAGTACTTACCCTTGTAGTGTAGGCTGCCTCTGCATCGTCCTCCAGTACTCGAGACAGTCCAAAATCGGACACTTTACACACCAGGTTTCCATTGACCAGGATGTTGCGTGCAGCCAGATCGCGGTGCACGTAGCCCATGTCAGACAGGTACCTGTGGTTTCCATAAAGAGAACCATATTAGCTAACAGCTGGTGTCCTGATGGTGTGTTCAAAGACAAGCTCAGAGCTCGTGCACGACATACCTCATTCCAGATGCAATCCCACGCAGCATCCCCACCAGCTGGATCACCGTAAATTGTCCGTCATTTTTCTGAGGAGACAAGGACAAAAATAAAAAGGTTAGAGCTAGAGAAATGAGATACAAACTTCATCTAATCAAAAATAAGAATGTTGGACTTCATTTACTGATACGTTTTGTCATGTGTCATTGATAAACTAGTCAACTAAAGGCTTAAAGTGGAATAGAAGTATACACATTTTTACAATAACACTATTTGTAGAAAAAAAAAAAACGGTTTGGAATGAGAAAACATGAAAAATTTAAATACCTAACCTAAAGTGTAATTTATTTACTAGTATACTGTTGATAGAAATATGGATGGACTGGGACCAAAAATGGCCCTGGACTTTTCCCTCACAAATCGGCCCAAGGTCAGTCCTCCTCTGGTCAGAAAATAAAGGTTCCTAGCATTGAACCTTGAGGCACTCCACTTAATAAGAAATGTACATTTAAAAGTCCGTGTTGAGACCTTTGGCTATGTTATTATATTAATCCACTATACGAAAAAAAAATATAAGAAAAAAATATCTTTAAAAATGTATCAATCACAATTTAATTTTAATATATACCATACAAGCATTTAAGCTAAACCCATTTAAATAATCTAAACTCCTTTCATAAGCTTTTAGTGACACTAGACTGGCTGAATGGTCACATAGACTAAAAAACAAACAAACAAACAAAAAAAAGATTTTTACAATTTGCAAACAATTTGATGATTGGATTAGAATTTAATGTATTTAATTAGCTTTTATTGGGGAGGGTCTGCCACCTGCTTGTTTCTATGGGGATGTTATTGCTGTCCCTCCAATGTTCCATGTTATGACATTAAATGCACAGTATCTATCGAGTATATATTCATTAAAAGTGTTTCTATTACACAAAAATACAGTCATTCCTTCCATGAATAATTGCGACTCTCCACAGATCTGATTTTTATTGTGGCGTAGTGCTGTAACCTGACTGTCACTTAATAAATGGGTTTAATCTACACTGTGGAACATTCTAGACAAGGAGGTGGTGGACCTTCCACTAGAAATGTTACACAGCACATCGTTAAGCCATAATAAGACTGCACCACTTGTCAATTTAAAGGTGCATTGTGTAACTTTTCTGGTGGTGGGTCTGAAAATGTTTTTCTCTATGGAGATGGTTATTACTTTCTCTGGAATGTTTCACAGTATGGCATTAAACCTTCATGGAGGTCAAACCAGACCAGGTTACAGGTCAGATCAGTGAAAAGGCAACCCTACTCACAGTCAAATGCCTGTTTTTGAGGTATTTTTGAGCTATAAAAGCACCTGGCAAAGGAGAAATTCAATTTGTCAACTGGACAAAGTTTATTTGGTTTAATACGTTCCGCAGCTCATCCAAACTGCTTCTTCGGTTCCTTAACAGAACTGGAGGTAGCTAACTTGGATGAACTGCGAAATGTATTCAACCAAATAAACTTTGTCCAGTTGACAAATTGAATTTCTCTTTTCCCATGGATTCTACCTGGAAAATTGAGGGATTTTTCACATATAAAACCACCTGTAATTGAATAACTGTAAGGTAGAGCTGTTTAATGTCACACTGTGAAACATTCCAGACAGCACAGTGACATATCCATAGAAACAAGCAGGAGACAGGCCTCCAAACAAAAAGTTACACAGTGCACCTTTAAACGACACCACAAAACACAGCCAAACAAACCCACACTTCCACCATCTTTTGTTCAGTCTTGATGTTTTTCTCATTCCGTTTCCCTCACAGTACTGTCTCTACACATGCTCCCGCGGTCATGTCTCATTTTTATATCCACATGAGTGCTTGTGAGTGCTCTCTGCTCACACCGGAGCAGCCAGGGAATCCCCAAACCAGGATAAAGAACTGCTCAAATCCTGCCCCGAGCCGCTCCATTGGCCCCTGCGCTGCCGTGAGCTTTACAACATTTCACAAAACGCTGGTCTCTGGTGGTGGAGAGAGCAGCAGAGTCAGCCAGCTTCCCCGGAGCTAAAGTCCCCGCCCCCTCACTCCGCACTGCTCTAGACCAGGGTTAACCTTCAAGCCTGAGCTCCCTTCACTGCCAGGCTAGAGGAAGACAAAGCGACTGGTATTTGTGGTAGAAGGTGCTGGATTCATACAATTTCTTTAGTGTTTCAAAGCTTTTGATTATAGACAAGATTGAAATGATACTAATTAAAGGTGCAACGTTTATTGTTGAGGGTCTGTCAAAAGCTTTTCTCCGTGGAGATGTTATTGCTTTCTCTGGCATGTTTCACAGTATGGTATTAAACTATTCTAACTTTGCAGACACCAAACCAGACCAAGTTAAAGATTAGAGAGGCAACCCCTAACATGGCTCAAACCAAGTGCCACCCAGTTTCCTTTTAGTCTGTCACGGCAAACCTGTCAAAATGATGTATCCAACTTGATCCAGGTAAAACCAAAACAAGTGTCAAGCGTTATAAGTCACTCTCACTGTCTGCCAGTGCCGCCACGTTTGTTTTGCTCCGTGTAGGCCTGGGGCTTGGGGTTGTCATCATGTTGCCTGTAACTCCTCCCCTTGCCATAGAAGCCCGGTGATTGGGCCGACCACTATTCTGGTGGAATTTAAACCGTACAGCGGGAGCACCTCAAGATCCATCATGCTGTGCAAAGTTAAAACAACACTGCTCACAGTCAGAATGCCTCTTTTTCTAGGTATATTTGAGCTATAACCCCACCTGTAATTAAATAAATGTAAGATAGTGATGTTTAATGTCATACTGTGTAACATTCCAGGCAGAGCAATGACATCGCCATGGAAAAAAGTATTTGACTGAGCTTCTGCCGGAAAAAGTTATGTAGTGCACATTTAATGTTCATGATGGCAATTTGCAAGTTTATTCTGCTTTTTACTTTCAGGCAAAAAAAGCATAATACAGATAAAATAAATAAATAAATAAATAAATACAATGGGAATATAAACTAAAGCTCTATTTAAGTCCACTAGTCCTCATTAAGACAGTAAAACTAGCCAAATAAATAAGAGCAAAAATACCAATAAATAAAAAGTTTAAAAACATAAAACTAAAGAAAATAAAGAAAAGACCCAAGTAAATAAATAAGTAAATGAACAAGGAATGGAAGTATCAATATATCAATACTGACTCAAAAGTGGTTAATGATATTGCTATGCAAATATCAATACTAAGTAACATGAGCAATCTTAAAGCTAAGCAGCGATTTTAGACATTCTACAGCTGTTTCTTCTTTGTTCTTTTTCTAAACACCTTCACCTGCTGCATTTTGGACTGACCCATCTGTGTCTGTTTGTCCTCTAGAACATATTTGAAGCCACTTTGTATATACATATTTGTTTAAATGCCCATAAGATTAGAGTAGTATCGAGTATATGTATTGAAAAAATTACCTCAAAAGTATGGTATTGTATCATGCCAAAAAGTGGTTTCAGCCTAGAAGTACTTATTTACAACATTTATTTTTACTTTTTTTTTTAAAGTAAGTGAAGTAAAATGTTTGTTTATTGATTGATTTTTGTGTAAAATAATATATCAGCAATAAAGTGACCACATAAGAATTAAATGTTGGTAACTCTGTTTTTGTGATGTTCAATTTCCATATGCAGGTGCATTTTTTACCCTTGCAATTTTTTAAAATCAACTGGATTATTCCTACTGTCACTATCTCATAATAGAAACTTACTGTTATAGCATTGATATATACCATTTGCTACATTCCATTTACTCCTAATAGTAAGTATCAGTACTCCTACTCAAGTAAAATGTTTTGCTTTTTTATGTTGACAATAAGAAATGATTTGAACATTTCTGTTTCTTGCACCAGATCATGTAGTTTTTTTTTTCTTTTTCCACATTTGTATGGTCTATCCTTTCGTGTATTTAAAATTTTGTGCATTATTTCATCTTTTGTCCTTCAAATTACATGAACTTTGATTTCTAAATTATGTGTCAACAGTTGCTCTTTAAACTACTCTTCTACTACTACTTCTTCTGAGTACTTACTTCTACTTTTGAGTAGTAGCATTCCCAAATACATTTTTACTCTTACTTGAGTCATTTCTTAGACTACTACTTTGTGCTTCTACTTGAGTAATATTATTCTGAAGTAACATTATGCTTTCTTGAGTACATTTTTTGTCACATTTCTGCCTTTTTGTTTGTTTTCCCCAGTCCAGCTCCGTTTGTCAGTCCATTCCGGTCCTCCTTTTGCTGCCTTCCTCCCTTTTCCTGCAGCTGCCTCTCATTCCGTAATCAGCCCATGCCAGTCTATATATACTCCCTCTACTCAGTCAGTCTTTGCCAGATTGTAGACCTGTAAAGACTTACTCTCAAGCTCCTGAAAACCTGAACCCTGAATTCTGAAAACCCTGTATTACCCCTGAATCTGATCTGTTTGCAACTACTGCAATTCTGTGTTTTTCCCTGTTTGTTGTCCCTGTTCCTGAGTTTACTCCCAGTTCATTTCTTACTAGTGTATTTCCCAGTCTTGGAGGATATTTCTGTTCACATTTTATATCATATATTCCTCTGTTATATTTTCAGTCTGAGTTACCATTATACATTACCTGTTAGAGGACGCTTTCCGTTATTAACTAAGACTTTGTTTGCCTGTATACTTGTGTTGCACTTGAGTCCAAATTACCTGCGTGATATTTTTGGCTACTTGACACACCTTTGAATACACTTCTCTAAAACATAATGTGCATAATTGTGAAAATAACCAAAGGTCTCTGACAATAGAAACTCACTATTGTACCACTCCATTTGCTACACCAATTTCTGTAAGTCTATTCTCCATTTCATAAAATTGCCATATGCCCTATATACTACCCTAGTAGGCACTCATGCAAACCACTTGTACATTCATATCTGGTACATACGATTGCATCAGCAGCACATGCTTGACTACACTTCCCAGACCTCTTACAAGTGAAATGAGATGTTTCAGCCTCAGGTACAAGTGATGAGTGTGCCTTTAAGTGCACTGTCCAGAGCGGTGACAGCTAATCTACCAGCCCCAGCGCCTGTGCTCGTCTCAAGGCTGTGTCATTTATCCTGGCCCCAGTACACCAGTCATCCATGTAATTGCTTCATAGAGTCTCCCGCCCTGTCCTACATCGTCTGCTGGTGTGTCCCTCCCAGGCCACCGTACAGGCTTACATCCCCCGGGGCAGAAGCTGTCGGCGTGTCAGCAGCTTCAACCAGCCACCACAAGCTAAGCAAATCTGGTTTTAAATACTGTTTGATATTTTGGCCTATTCACATTAAGTTGATTTTTGGTCAATGGTAAATGGTCACACTTTTTACATTTCCACCTTCGAGGCACTCAAAGCGCTTTATATCAAGGAACCTTTCACTCATTCAATCACACAGACACTAGGGGCAAGGGGAGTTACATGTCTTGCTCAAGGACACAATGGCAGTATTCATCTGTGGGAGCTGGAATCACACAGACCACTCAACCAACTATTTTTACGTCGAGAGCGAGGTTCAAACCACCAACCTTTGGATCACTGGACGAACACACTAACTGAGCTACAGTTGCTTTGCCAAAAGTTGGAACACATACTAATCTTGGTACAACTTCAAATAACTACCTGAATGTGTAACTTTTTAGCCAAAAAATAAGCTAAAATAAAAGGATTTTTTGCACTGAAAAACATGTGTTCTTACTGGGAGTGGCTGCTTCACAAACCTTACTCTTGTTTGGCTCTCCTGCTTGTTTCTGTGGGAATGTTGCTCCCTTGGCTATAATATTCCAAAGTATGAGATAAAACATCTCTTTCTATGGAAAATGTTCCAAAGTATGGTTTTAGCAGGTGATGTGTGACCTCCAGAAAGTCAGTGTTGATTTAGAATAGAATAGTTTTGTAGTAGTAGAGTCTGTTTCAAGATTAAACTGACATTTGTCTTCAATACAGCTTAGTGTTGTGTCAAACAAATAAAACAGTATCAACCAGTATGTTAATAAAACATGATTTTCCTCTCCAGGATATAAGACAACTACCATGTCAGGGTAGTAAAACAATAATTCCATGCATTAAATTGCAAAGTGAAAGAAAGTGTCAAAAAAGAACACTTGTCCAAATAATAGAACATAATGCATATGCAATCTAAAGGTAGGTGATCACTTGGAACCTCATGAAAGAATTCTCAGTGTATTTCCTATTTATGACTTCATAGTTCATTGTTCATTTGTTTTGTACTTTTAGCAGGTGCTTTGCCATGATTAAGAAATTAACAATAATAGCTGCCAAGAAACTGGCCTTGAGAACATAACAAAACACATAATAAACATTGCAAATTAGAATCATTAGATTAAAGCAGCTGAACTACATTGTTGTTGTTGTGTGAAAATGAAATAATGTGCTTATGTCATTATGTTGGTGTACCTTGTGCAATGAGGATTAAGATAATTATGAAATAAACAAAGTGAACATTGCAGTCAAGTCCATTCTTCTGTAAGGCTTTTTTCCAATACTGTGCTTTCATGGGAATACTTTCAGAGATTGGTAGTAGTCAGTTATGTTTACCTGAGTAACTTTTAAAAGAAATTGTACTTTTAAGAGTGCGTTTCTAGCAGCATACTGTTTACTCCCACGTGAGTAATATTGAAGTAAGTTTTGGTTCCTCTTCCCTTTGTGAGTAAGTCTAAAGTGACAAAAGCTTTATGTTGACAATATGAAATGATTTAAACATTTGGTTTCCTTGCTCCACACTTTAGATAATGTAGTTTTTTGTTTTTGTTTTTTCCAAATTTGTGTTGTCTGCCCTTTGAAAATACAAGATTCTGTGCATTATTTAAAGTTTTGTCCTTCATATTACATTGAATTCAAATTCTAAATCTGATGTTACGTCCCTACAGTTACTCTTGAAGTTACTCTTACTTGAGTAGTACTTTTTTTACTTTTACTTGTGTAATTTCTTGGACCACTACTTTGTACTTATACTTGAGTAATATTATTTTGAAGTAACATTACTCTTACTTGAGTACATTTTTGGTTACTCTACACACCTCTGAGTACACTTCTCTTAAATGGTGAATAATTGTGAAAAAAAAAAAAAAAAAAAATGTCAACCATGGTAGCCTCAAAGTAGTAGTAGTAGGAATAGTAGAAGTAGTAGGAGGAGTAGGAGTAGGAGGAGTAGGAGTAGGAGAAGTAGGAGTAGTATTAGCAGGAGTAGGAGTAGGAGAAGTAGGAGTAGGAAGTAGTAGTAGCAGGAGTAGGATAGTAGGAGGAGTAGTAGGAGCAGTAGGAGTAGGAATAGGAGAAGGAAGTAGCAGAAGTAGCAGCAGTAGGAGTAGTAGTAGTAGCAGTAGTAGTAGTAGCAGTAGCAGTAGCAGTAGCAGTAGTAGTTAGTAGTACATTTAAAAGTTATGTACAGCAGAAGATGTAGCCTAAGGTAAATTTGATATACCATAATTTAGAAGACATCTATTTGTACATGAGGCAATGTTTCATGGTAAGATTACCCAGCTTTGAAATAAATGGGTTTTTCATGGGGACAGGTTTGATATTTCATACTAATACCACAATGTTACCTTTCCAATGCAATGTTTCATATAGGTTTCATCATGTAATTGAGTTCTCTGGCGTTATTTGTATCCTGGCAGCTCATTTCTGTAATCTCTTCATTAGCGGTGTGTGGCAGATGTCATGTCATGTGAATCAGTGAACCAGCACATATGTAGAATATTTGATAAAATAATTGGCCAGCCTGCAGTTTTGGAAGGGGTAATATCATGTTGCTTTAATCCAGGTGCTTTGAACAATTAAAATGCATGGGACAGCCCTGATAACATAGCAGGTTTCAACATCAAAGTATTAATGGCTGCATTAGAGTTTGCAAATGTAATTCTTTTGAAATGGACATTCAGTTATACTAGATGAAATGAGTGTATTCAGGCCTATTGCAAGACAAGAAAAAGGATGGAAATACCTTTAGGAAAGTGTCCAGAGACCCATTCTCCATGTATTCTGTAATGATCATCACTGGCTTGCCTGAAAAAAAAAAAAAAAGTTTGACAATTGACTGTAAATCTGTGTATTAACAAACAGAATTAAATATTATGTTATTATACTTGCCCTTTGTTGTGTTTGTGTCTGTTTTCTAATATCTGCTATTATCAGTGTTTTATCTTGATTTTTTTATTATTATTTTTTACTTTTGTCTTGCTGTTCTTAAACTGTGTGTTGCAACGCTTGAATTTCCCCAATGTGACAAATAAAGGTTCTTCTATTATCGTATTTGAATTGAAAGTTGACATTACTTATAAACTGAGCCTGTTTACATCCGTCTGTCAATCAAATACCGTAATTTCTGGACTATTGAGTGCACCTGAATATAAGCCGCATCGACTAAATTTTAACAAAATTTTAAAATTTTACATATATAGGCCACACCTGAATATAAGCCGCAGGTGTCCACGTCTTCAAGAACGTTTTCAAGTTCGGGCCATCTGCTTTTATCGCCTCTGAAAGCTTTTGTTGTCTTTTTGCATTGAGTCAGTTCATCATGCTGCCGTCGCCAAAATCTCACCATCGACTCATCGATGCTGAGCTCACATGCAGCAGCTCTATTTCCTTCTTTGACACCCAGATCAATTGCCTTTTAACTTAAAAGCTGCATCATCTGCATTTCTTCGTGTGTTTTCCTTGAGGAGGGTGTGTGTACGAAGCGCAAAATAACTGTTCAAAACACAATTAATCGAGCATCTTCCTCGGCGCATTACCCCCATCTCTCCCCGCGCTCTACTCCGCATGTCTCCTGCAGACAGAGCCGTCATGTCTGGTATCATGTTAGTGTCTTGTAGGATTTCAGCAGATTTCAGGCTCTCCCAGTGGCTAGGTTACTTATATCGTTCAGGTATGATTGGATGTCCAGCTACTGAAGCTTGAGATGTTTCTTCTCGTCATTTACGCATACGGGTAAGACGTATCCCCTTCACTAATGTTAATGTAGCATAACTTATTTTATCACACGCCGATAAACTGTTTGAGTGTGTTGACAAAAGTGCTAGCTAAAGCAGCAACTTCATGTTAACCCTAGCTCCATGTGTTAACTGCACACACAGCAACACTTTCTGCACTCAGGCTGTGCGTATCCACTGCGTTGCCAAACCATAGACCGTATATATGAATGGATTATGTACCAAACAATCCGCATTGTTGTATAAGACGCAGGGTTCAAAGTGTGAGAAAAAAGTAGCAGCTTATAGTCTGGAAATTACGGTACATAATGTTTACCAATCCAATCTAAGTGCAACTTGGTGATATGGTAGTGCAGACACTTGCCTTACAGCAGTAACGTCCTGGGTTATATTGTCGAACTAAACATAGGACTTGCTTCATGTTTTACCTGTGTTGGTGCAAAGGACTAACTCTCCATCTGATTTGACTTATGTTATGTCTATTAATAAATGAGTTTGTAGCTAATATTTACCACAGAAAGATGAGACAGGAAACCAAACTATACTCAAACTAAGAAACTAAAAAAGTTACAAATCTCTTACTCTTGGTGACCACTCCCTCCAGGCGGATGATGTTGGGGTGGTTGAACTGTCCCATGATTGACGCCTCCCACAGGAAGTCCCGCCTCTGCTGCTCGGTGTATCCGGCCTTCAGGGTTTTGATGGCCACTTGGATCTCCCGTTTCCCTGGCAACCTTAGCGGTCCACAGCACACTTCACCAAATTCACCTAAACACATAACCACTGCTGTCACCATTGTAGAACAGACAGAGTGTTTCTTACACCAGTCTCATGAATTAAAACACACAGATATAATTTTTAAAAATCCTTGTTTTTCTCTTTAAATAATGATAAGGAAAAAGTGTGGATTTCATTACATAAATGTGTGTTTTTGTAGTCATATGATGAACTTTGTTGTATTTTTTTTTTATTTTTTTTAATTAAGGTTCAGGCTTAATTAAGATTGAAACTTTGTCACAATAAAGGTAAAAGTTAGTGTTTTGACTTTTTTTTTAACAGCATACTAGGTCTACTTTCTGTTTTCCTCTATTTTATTCTATATTTTCACACTGTTTGACATGTTTCAATAGTGTATTCAGTCACACAAAAACATGGCAATTTTATTTCACGGCGAACAAGTATAAAATATAGCCTATGATTCACCGCCATGCAATTACATTTCCATATTAACACGCTATATACAAGTAACCAGCCTGTTGGAACCGCCATATTTTCACGTATTGGAGCGAACGATAATGTATTCTGTGACACATTATGCTCGCCACATCTAACACTCAGACACGCTGGCAGTGGTATTAGCGTTGGCATTAGCGTCACTCACCTGCTCCTATGATGCGCTCTATGGAGATAAAGGATACGTCTATCTCCTGGGCAAACTCGTGCACAGCCTGGTTGGGGTCCTCGTAGGTCAGGGGGTCGATGTAGGTGCGGACCCCGGGGAATTTAACTGATGAGACACACACAAAACATCAATAGAGTTAAGATAGAGTTAAGATGGTGTTAAGATTGCATATAACTGAGAATTAGGAAGGATTAGGTACAGAATGAGAATGGAAATAAGGCTGTGGAAATGAGGGTGAGGTGCATTATGGTAGGTCGTGTTTTGGTGATTTCTTGTTGGTAACACTTTATAATAAGGCATACTTACAAATCATGTGTAAATGTTCATTAAACATGAACTAATCATTTACCAAAAATAACCTACTCATTAACAAGTAATTAATCATTTACAAACATGGAAAGGACAAAAAGTGCCATTACTATTTAATAAAACATTCTTAAATGTTTAGGTAAGTAAGTCTTTAATTATAAGCGCTGCTGCCATGCCAGTCAGCGCTATCGGTCCCTCTGACCACCATCATCACTCACACACACACCACTTTCATACTAGGCAATGTGGGTGAAGTGTCTTGCCTAAGGACACAATGACAGCTTTTTTTTTTTTTTTTGTGACTGGTGCTCCACTGTGGCACCTGATTTTCCCAGTGTCTCCCATCCAAGTACTAACCAGGCCCGGCCCTGCTTCTGAGATCTGACGGGATCAGACTTTGATCGGCCGGAATGGTTTAATTAGGAACATGTACAAACACTTAACAAATGTTTATTAATCATTAACTACACATACACTAATAATGGTAAATGATCATACTTTTCTATAGCACTTTTCCACCTTCAAGACACTCAAAAGTGCTTTACATCAAAGAAACAGTCACCCATTCACACACACATTCATACACCAGTGTACACAGACATTAGGGGCAAAGTGGGTTAAGTGTCTTGTCTAAGGACACAACGGCAGCATTCATCTGTAGGAGCCGGAATCACACCAGCCAACCTGTGGGTCAGTGGATCTGACCACTCAAACAACTGCCAACCGCCAACCTTTAGATCAGTGGACAAATGCTCTTATCAAGTAAAGACATACTTGTAATTTTTTAGTACATGATTGGTTAATGATTAATAAACATTTACAAAAGATTTTCAGGTATGCTTTATTATAAAATGATACCAAAATGTTGTTTTGGGATTAAAACCTGTTGGAGAGAGAATGCATTTTAAGATTGTTATGGGGAAAAGATCCTCTTATAATAACAGTGACTACTAACTTCACTTCAGAAAAACTGAGCCAACAAAATTCACAGTCAGTGCTTTTTCCAATACTTATTAATCTAAACTAATCTAATCTACACACATATTGATAAGTATAAAAAATAGTAATGAATTATGGCGATCCTGATACTTTGAAAAGTTCTTCTGTTGGTGCCTGGCTTTAAACTCATGAGACTGTTAGATCCGATTGGAACTCTGCAAAAAAGTCCCATTAGGTACGCTTTGTAAAATTGTACGTTATACATACATACGTACATACATACATCTTTTTTTGGTAATAGTTTGGTTAATAAATGACAGTTTGGGTCTAGTTTTGAACTACTTTGTCAATCAGGATCAGTCTCCAAGAGAGATTTAAACTTTGTCAATGTAAGATTTCCTCTAACACCAAGTACATTTCTTCTCAGCACGCTTTCTCTTTGTCTCAGACCGATTCATACAAACTAATTACCCCAAATGGAAGACATCGCTCACATCCCCTTTTTTATGCCTGTAGTAAAAAATGTTCTTCGGTGACATGAATCATGATATAAAACCATTTTTCACACTGAACGCAACCGCCGTGCACAGCCAACTCCGGTGCCAACAGATGGAGAGCAGGACACAAAGCCAAATCGTGTGGCCAAATATATTACGCTGTCATGGCCTATAAATCTTCATTGCTTTGTGCGTCTTTTGCCAAAACGTCTGCCGGGAAACCGATGTGTAACGGTGTCATTCAAAATAAATGTCTCCGAGTATCCGACATTGTTAGCGACAGGCACAGGTGAGGATCTGACAAGCTGACAAAAACATGGCCGCTACGTGAACCCGAAAAGTATGGTGTAAACTTGAAATGAACTTTTATGAGTGAAATCGGTTTGTAAACTTACTGTGACCGTTGTGGAAGTGCATCTTCTCCTCATCGGGGTCTTGTTTTGCCTTGCTATATCCGCAACGCCTGGAGGATGGACACACATAAGGAGGAGATGTTACGCTATAAAGAGTCTGGTTCTAGTGTATCTGCTCAGCTTGGGTAATTTGAAACATTTTGTACTTTAGTTGATGGACCCAATTCTCTTCATAAAGTGAAGCAATATTTGTTTTGCCGCAGTATAGATACAGTATATTATAAAGTGCTAATAATACAGTATTTTCTGATCTGATCACAAACATACCTGGAGTTGTGTTTTGTTTCATTTACACAAATCCTGCAGAATCCGTGTATCATTTGTTCATTTGTTTTTTAATATATAACCAAAAATAAGAAAATGAAAAAATAACAGTTTTCTTCATTATCTGTCTCGAAAACCAAAATGAAAAAAATGGATAATGGTTCCCGTTTCCGTGACTTAAACTGCGCCCCATATGGACTGAACCAGGACTAACACAGGCCTAAACTAGGACTAAACCGTTTTCAGGCCTGGTCTGGTCCTGGTCTGGTCCCGGTCAGGTCCCGGTCTGGTCCCTATCTGGTCCTGGTCTCAGTCTCGGTCTGGTCCCGGTTTCAGTCCAGGTCTCAATCACGGCCTGGTTCTGGTCTGGTCCCGGCCTCAGTCCTGGTCTCAGTCCCAGTCTGGTCCTGGTCTCAGTCCCGGTCTCTAAGTCCTTGTCTAAGTTCTGGTCTAGTCACGATTTGAGGCCCGGTCTCAGTCCCAGCCTCAGTCCCAACCTCAGTCCCAGCCTCAGTCCCAGCCTTAGTCCCGGTCTGGTCCCGGTCTCAGTCTCAGTCTGGTCCCGGTTTCAGTCCCGGTCTCAATCACGGCCTGATCCTGGTCTGGCCTCGGCCTCAATCCTGGTCTCAGTCCCAATCTGGTCCCGATCTCAGTCCTGGCCTCAGTCCCGGTGTCTAAGTCCCTGTCTAAGTACTGGTCTAGTCTCGGTCTGAGGCCTGGTCTCAGTCCCGGTCTCAGTCCTGGTCTGGTTCCTGTCTGGTCAGACCTGGTTCAGTCCTGGTTCAGTCCATATGCGGCGCAAAAGTCCGGCATCGCAGTTTAAGTCACAAAAACAGAAAACAGGCGTTATTCATTTTTATTTGTTATTATTCATTTAAACACAAAATTGAAAACAGAAAAAAATAGTCATTATCCATTTTTTCATTTTGGTTTTGGAGACAAATAATGAAGAAAACAGTTATTTTTTCGTATTTTTGGTTTTACATTGAAAAACGAATGAATGAATGATACACGGATTCCGCATATTTAGGCATAATCCTTCTCTTCTCTCAACCTGGAAACACTCTATTCCACCTTGTGATGTCATGTGGTGATACAGAAAGTGCTCAACTGTGTTTTTAAACTCCATACACCTTCATTAGAACTATTTGGATCATTTCAGCCGTGGAATTGCCAATCTCTGCTGAACGAAAGGCAAAACGTAGATGTTAACTTGAAAACTACAGCTTCATGACATCACAAGGTGGAACAGAGCATTTTGAGCTTTGGAGATGTAGACAGACTAATAATAAAGGGCTACTTAAACGTGTGGATGAGCTCCAGGTATGTTTTTGAGGAGACTGACCTTTAAAAGCAGCTAAAAAGGTCAAATTGAAACCACTGTGAGCGGTCTTGCATTTAATTCTACAACATTATTCCCCTATGTTACCAAAGATCTTTAACATTGTTTAGAATTACTTTATGACTGACCACAGTTAATGACAATATAGATGAAGTAAAAGTAATAAACCCTTTGTAATCAATTAATTATTACCGGAGACCGATATTTTGCAAGTCAAAATTCATGCTTCAATTCTTCAAGTAAGTCTCCAGCAGTGCAGCATTATATCTCCGCCTTTAGCATTTTGGCTAACCTTTAAAACGCAAGAGACTGTTTGGTTTTTCAATAAAGCCAGTGTGTTCAGTATTGATCTTTACTCTGTTTTTTGTGTAGAAAACTATTGATTGAAAAAGTCAAGGCTGGAGAATTTTGTTGTTTATCGTGAATCATTTTTCCAAGGGCTATTTCTTCATGTTCTGATAATATGTCCGACCCACCACATTCTTTCACATGCATGTTGTAATCCCAGGAATAAGTGTGCAGTTTGGAGGTGCTTCTGCTTGTTTATTTACAAATAAATCAATATCACTGTAACAAGATTCTTATTTCAATACTGAAAAAAAAAGAAAAGAAATTTTGACCTTTCATGAAAAGTTTTAGAATGTTCTTGATCTATGGCATGGAAATGTTTTACAGATTATTTTTCTTTTTATGATGTTAAATTACACTATATTCAGTTGAAAAATTAGAGCCACTGATCTAGTAAGCTTGCCTGGGATGCAGAATATACACTAATATACACTTCTTCAATACTTTACGAAGATGTGAGTCTGGTCAAATGGACATGATTGACAGGTGGATTAGCAAATCAGGGAGATGAATACTCTGTCCGGAAAAAAAGATCACAAGGGACTGAAAAAATTGTGGATTTCTGCAGAACCACTGACCCAAAAAACTAAAAAACTAAACTCTGTTAATCTGAGATGAGATAAATTAGATTTTATTTGTAAATGATAGATGACCAGAGAGCTCCTTTGTTTCACGTGTGTCGCTGAAAAAAAAAAAAAAAAAAAGTCTGCTCATGTTTGGTCAGACTCGAAACACAACAGAGGATGTGGGCTACTGATATAAATCTGCATAAAAAATACAGAGAGAGATTTTGGAATGGTAAGCAATAATTCCAAACAAAATACTCTTTTTATGGTGTCCAGAAGAAACTCATGTTATTAAATCCATGGATATTAACAAAAGATAACAAAAAAATAGTAGCTGGGCTGTTCATAGATTAAAAAAAAAAAGCATTTGACACAATAGATCACGGTAAATTATTAGAAATACTGGAATTATATGGCATAAGGGGGGTAGCTCTAAACTGGGTAAAGAGTTATGTAGCAAATCGATCTCAGTTTGTTCAGTTAAATGATTACAGCTCATCATGTTTGGATATTCTGTGTGGTCTACCCCAAGGTACTGTGTTGGGCCTCAATTTTTTTTATTTTATTTATTAATGACTTATGAAAGGTATCACAGTTATTTAAATCTGTCTTATTTGCAGATGACAAACTTATTTTGTGCTGGTGAAAACTTACAAGAGTTACTTTCAGAAATTGAGTCTGAAATGCTGAAATTAAAAACATGGTTTGATAGGAACAAATTATCTCTAAATTTGAGCAAAACAAAAGCAATGACAATAAGCAAATTCAGCTGCAAATACAGGGGGTTAACATAGACAGGGTAAAGAAAAATAAATTTCAAGGCGTTATTACTGATGAAAAACTTAACTGGAAAGAACTATACATACGAAAATTTCGAAAAGCATAGCAGTATTAGGTAAGGCCATATATTTTCTGGACAAGAAAGCTCTACATACACTTTATTGTTTCTTAGTTGCACCATATTTAACATACTGTGCTGAGATCTGGGGTAATAATTATAAAACAACATTGGAACCACTTCATATTACAGAGAAGAGCACTACGGATAATTCATAACGTTTGGTTTTATGAACACACCAACCAGCTATTTATCACTTCAAAAATGTTAAAACTTAAGGATTTGATAAGCTTCCAGACAGCAAAAATAATGTACAAGGCAGAAAGGAAGGAACTAATAAAAAATATACAGAAACTTTTTAGGGAAAGGGAGACAGCTTATAATTTAAGGGGAATTCATCTCTTTAAAATGGCCAGAGTCCGTACAACAAGAAAGAGTTTCTGTATTTCAGTTTGTGGGGTCAAAATCTGGAACTCTATGAGCTCCAAAAATGTCCAAATATGAAAATGTTTAAACATAAATATAAAGAAATGACTATAACTAGGAATGCTCAAGAAGAAATTTAATTTTATTGTTTTCTGAATGCAAACTATATTTATTTTTGTATCGGGAGTAATGTGACATACTATAAGAGTCTGGCAGAAGCACATTATTGCTGTAGTGGGATTGTAAAAGGGGGTGGGGGTAGATAAGCGTGGCTTCTCCCCACTCCTTTTCAGAACAATTGATTTTTTTATTTTTTTATTTCTATTTTCGGATATTATAGTCGTGATGTGCATATGCAATTTATCATTTACTGTATGATAATGCAATTTATTATTTATGGAAACATCCGAAATAAACTTATCATCATATTTCCCCTAAATTTACTCAAAAACGAAACATTTCTAGAAACGGCACACAGAAACACCATCATTCCGGGACGCTGCATATCCCAGAAGCCTCAGCCCGACCACAACTTGCTGGAAAGTCCGTCGTGCCTGTGTGTGAGTACGGTAAACACTGTCCCACATCAATATTTAGACAGGCCACATCAGCGATAATCACAGATAACCTCGATTAAACAGCACCATTGATTTTTACACTTGATCCAATTCGCAAACACGGATCCGCCCACACACGCAGAGGTCATGTCCAAGTCTGGTTCACGTCTGTATTCAGAATAATAGCTAGAGGCTCTGGGCTACTGGGTGGGGCGATTGGGGGTTCAATTCCTGTGCGTACGTGGCTGCGCTTGCCGGGGGGGCCGTTAATTTACCGGATGTGTTGAGTCAAGGGCTTTCGAGATCGCTAGCCGCATTGCCGATCGCCCAACTTCCTGCTAACCCATGCGCATGAGTTGTTCTAGGGGACCGTGTATGCGTGTGTGGGTAGATTTTGAAGGGGTGGTGGAGCACAGGATTTGAGCTACGGGGGATAGGGAGAAGAGGGGGATGGGGGGTCTGTGTCCTAAATCCTACACCGGAAAATTTGGCTTTTTTTGAGATCACTCCTCCCCCATCCACAACAAGAATAGTGACTGGGTATACTTGATCCTGCTCCTCTCTGCAGTGAGCTCTTTAAATGATTATGCGGTTCCAGAAGTGCATATTCATTATTGTAATTATTATAGGCAATGCATTATTCAAGAAAGCTAAAGTGAAAGTGAGATAATTACTATAGGGGAGAATAGTTTGATAAATAAAACATAAGGCTGACTATATCCACTGTATATTACATGTTGATTAAATTATAGAAGGGACGATTTGGAGCCGACATCTTCATCTTTGCTAATGGTTTGATCCGGGGTGGAGACAACTACTAGCTTCATTTTATTATAGAGTTCTTGCACTGGTATCAAAGCAGTGTAATGGGTCAGAATTACTCCTGGAAAATTCACTGTGTTTTGCTGATGTATGATGTTATATTATATTGTATTATAATATACACAGTGGCAAAATTGCACTACTATATATGTCTTCCCAGGAAACTGTAAACACAATGTCAAAATGAATACCTATTGATGAAAAAAAGAAAAAGAAAGTACAGTTTGCACTAATTTGTTTATTTGAAACTTACTCAAAGTTTTGATGAGACACTACACAATGTTAGCCTGATTCATCAACTAGTTTCACTTCGTGGAAACTGTCTGACCTCACAGCATTAGGATTTGTTCTCTTGATGGTAGGCAGGTACTTTTTTATTTAACCAATCACTGCTATTTGGTTGTGATGTATGTAATGTGACGCTAACGGGGCTAACTGGTATATTAAGCTTTTACCAAATCCCGTAGGAAGAAGGGCAATAACGTCTTTCTCCTTGATAAAATTCATCAAACATTGGCTTTGTTCCGGCTTTAAATCCTCAATCTCAGGAATCGTTGCCAACACAGAATGTATGGCTCTTCACTGATTGGCTGGTGCTGTATATATGAGTGGACATAGCTAACGTGCTAGCTGCCGTGTGCCAAATAGGACGTTCGCCAGGAGGCTCCTTCTTACCCTGGCTCCAATTGACTTACATCGAGATCTTGTCGCTCCTCTCTCTGTAACTGCTGCAGCGAGCCTCATTGTTTTGGTCTTAAAATGTTCATATTAACCTGCTCTACATGATCCTGAATTTTTTTTAGCTATTTTGTCCATCAAAAAAATCCTATTCATAACATAGCGCCTGGCTCCAGATTCGCTCCTGTAACCGTTAGCATCACAAGCCTCATTTGAGCGGCGCTGAAAGCCATGGGTGACATCACTCTTGCTTAGTCCATTTCTTTTATCCAGTCTGTGATTCCGATTCCTGACCTAGTCACTGGAGAGAAATGAAATTCAGTGAAGGCACTAGGTGGCGATAGCCTGGCTAACACATTGTATGGTGTGGATGAATAAACTCTTTATAAGGCTTGCAATGATGTAGTCTTTAGAAAGTTAGTTGAAAACACAACAACATTCACTAGATTAAATCAAGTTTGAAGACCCATGTAATGCTTAAATGTTCTGTAATTTATTTGCTCAAGTAGTAGTGGTTGGACTAGTAGTAGTAGTAGTAGCAGCAATGGTTGGTGGTAGTGGTTGAAGTAGGAGCGAATGAAGTAGTAGTAGTATTTGTAGTAATAGCAGTAGTTGTTGAAGCAGTAGTAGTGACTGAAGTAGTAGTAGTAGCAGTGGTTGAAGAAGTAGTAGTGATTGAAATAGCAGAGGCTGAAGTAGTAGTAGTAGTGAGTAGGAGTAGGAGTAGTAGTAGTAGGAGTAGGAGTAGTAGTAGTCATTGAAATAGCAGTAGTAGCTGAATTAGGAGTAGTGATTCAAGTAGTAGTAGTAGCAGTGATTGAAATAGCAGAGGCTGAAGCAGTAGTAGTATTTGTAGTAGTAGTAGTAGTAGTAGTGGTTGAAGTAGTAGTAGTCGTTGAAATAGTAGTAGTAGCTGAATTAGTAGTAGTAATTGAAGTAGTAGTAGTAGCAGTGGTTGAAATACCCGAGGTTGAAGTAAGTAGTAGTATTTCTGGTAATAGTGGCAGTGGTTGAAGTAGTAGTACATGTTTTGTCATTTAACCACAATAATGTAACAAATTATAGATTAAACATTTTCACCCTAATATACTGACACAAAATGAATTTCTAGTAACATGATGTTTGGCACATATATTCATATCGGGAAAAGTGCTGATATCACACCAGTCGAACCACTGGTATTATATTTTTCCATCCAATTTATTCACAATAAACACTATTTCTACCACTGGCTGTTTTATCCTCTCCATCTGTGTTTTCTAATGACCATTCTGTGTGCTGGCATCCCTCCATCCCTCCACGCTCTACACCTGCCCGTTCAAACACACAGGCCTCCTCTGCAGCTCCTGTTTACTGCATGATGTGTGTATTTACTGACTTACCTTCCACTGAGCAGGAAGCCAGCCACCACAGCCAGGAGGACGAGAGCCAGCGTAATGGCCACAGCCACGATGGAGGCCTGGGCGCGCTCGCTGGTGGCCGTCACTGCCAACAAAACAAGCGCACACGGTTTGACAGGAATTCAAAGGAGTCAGTGGGCACACCTGGCGAGGGGGAGATTCCACATGCAGGTGGGAGTCACAAGTTTATTGGAATAAACCCACGATTAGCAGAATCTTATATGGAGCCTTTTTGGACTTAAAACAGCTGTAATATGGTTAGCCTCGCACTTTTGAAATGTTTTTGGGAAAAGTCTATGGGAAAAAAATGCTATTGAGCTCCAATATCTAGCACTATCTCTCAAACTACATCCACTCAAGGCTACAAGTGTAAAGGCGTTTGTGTCAAAACTATTCAAGAAAAAAATACTAGGAAATAATGTAATTTTTTAAAAGTTGAATCTGCCTTTTTACATATGAATACAAAAAATATTCTTCAGCTAACTCATTTATTCACAAATTTCTCCTTCCTGCTGTTGTCCCATATAAACCGTTATGATCTAAATACAATAATAAGTCAACTAATCCAAATTTCTGTCAACTGCATGTAAGGTTAGTTGTGATTTTAAGACTAGAAATTGAATATAAGACCCTGTTTTGATCTGAATTAGACCTGTTTTAGCCTTGGTGTAGACCTGCTTTAGACCTGTTTCTCTTGTTCAGTCTATTGGTTATTATCTAAATTTGGTTTTGTTCCAGTTAAGTCCACTCATAGACCATTGGTGACCTGGTTTAGTCTTGGTTCTGACCTGGTGGTACTTGGAAAATAAATGTAAATTGTAGAACTGGAAAAATGGCAAAAAGTTTCCCACCAATTCTAAGAAAAATTCCCCATGATAAATACTAACTGCGATGATTGTTCCATCTACATGGTAAGTCGATATAGTAATTATCATGCTGTCCCAGAATGGAAACAGCTACCAACTGAGGTACTCTTCAGCCTGTCTTTATGCCAATTAATAAATCAGCATTTTATTTTATGTATTTCGATTTTTAAAAGCTCTGTAAATCTCATTAATTCAACAATATTGACAGGGATAAATTCAGCAGTTATTGGCAGTACCTCATTAAATTGTGTAACTTTTCTGGTGGAAGGTCTGTCAAATGCTTTTCTCCCTGGAGATGTCATTGTTTTGTCTGGAATGTTTCACAGTAAGGTATTAAACCTTTCTATCTTCATGGAGACGGGTCCAACTGCGGTCTGGGCATTTCTGTCATGATACAAGAACACCCACTGGGCGTTCTTTGTAGCAGAGTTTCATAAGGGATACTGGGTATAACGTCATTTGCCCGGGAATTTTTCGTATGGCAGTGGAGCATCTTTATCCATGATGTCAGTAAGTTGGCTATTTATTTTGAAAACGTTAATTGAGAAATGTTCTTATGTTGGCTGTATCACTGACATAGCTGCTGTTTCATCTTAATTGTATCCAAATCCGATACTAACATTAGCAACACACATTTGGTAGTAGCTAATCTCATGCTATCTCGTATATTAACAGCTAGCCAAAAGAAAGCTACGTGTTCTGCTGTTTGTAGTTACAGACTACAGTTTGCAGCAGAGTTTTTGTCCATTATTTTACGATGTAGTCTGTATTACTACAATACATTGTTAAGTTGGATGTGATCATGTTAGCTGGAAATAGCAGCCATAGAACATTGGTGGATGTGATGCTTCGTTTTGGTGGTAAACAGTATAACACGTAGCTTTCTTCTGGCTCGCTGTTAATATATGAGATAACATGAGATTAGCTACTACCAAATGAGTGTCGTCGCTAATGTTAGTATCAGATTTGGATACAATTCGGATACAATTAAGACGAAACGGCAGCTATATCAGTGATACAGACAACATAAGAACACTTCTCAATTAATGCTGTGAAAATAAATAGCCAACACTATGGAGCTTCTCTGAAATGATCATTTTGAAATCTAAATAAATACAGTCTGTTTGTAGCCAGACCTCTCCCTACTGTACACTCAGGTTTAGGTCCTGAAATGTAAATCAAGTTGATTAAGATGTAATTGGACATACGTTATGTATTTGGCTATGTTTGCTAATGTTTTCTCTATGACTAGATGTTATTTTGAAACTTCTCTATGAGAAAACTTAACTACTGTATCTATCAAAAGCTGTTTATCCGGATGTTGATGTTGAAAGAGCCGGATGACAGTGATGAGGAACGGAGCCCCCACCCACACGGGAACGCCCAAAGCACGAGAACACCCATATGTGTCCACAGATGGATGATACTGGACCAAAAGAGGACCCAGATCCACCTAGAGCAACAATAGCTCCTTTTCCTCACTGTCCCTTCCTCCTCCTTGGTCCTTATAATATATAAAGGAGAAGGAAGGACAAGGAAGGAGGTCTTTTTGCCCATTTCGGATGGAGCCCAAATTACAGGTCAGCTCTGTGGAGTGGCAAACCCCACTCACAGTCAGAATGCTTGTTTTTCTAGGTATTTTTGAGCTATAAACTCTTCTATAACTGAAGAAATGTAAAGTAGAGCTGTTTAATGTTATACTGTGGAACATTCTAGACATATCCATAGAAACAAGCACATGACTGACCCCTAACCAAAGCAGCTAATGAGTAAATACTTAATCTAAAGCTTATACTAGTTTATTCACAGACAGGTTGGATTTAACGGCCCCATGAAACTCTTCCTCCCCCTCTCCTCCCCGTGGTTCAGTTTTATCACTCTGATGTACTCACAGTAAGGGCTCGTCTGGAATTCAAAACGTCGACTGAATGCTCCGTAGCCCGCTGAGGTCCTGGCTCGCACCTGTAATCAAGTAAACATCACAATGTAAAGAGAGGTGGCAGAAAAATCATCAGTATGCAGAGTATTCGTCACGCCTGGTCCAGACTGATTTGTTAACTTGGTGTGAGTACAAGCTTCAAAGGCAGATATATGGACAAACTTTTTAGAGAAAACATTAAGAAACAATAAAGGGTGAGTGGAGTTTGTGTGCATTCAAGTCTGAGTCAATGTTTCAACATAGTGTATATATGGTAAATATTACAAGCTGATGTAGCATAAAATATAATATGGGAGGGCTTAAGACTAAACAAAGCATATATTTATTACGTAACATGTTATTTGCTTTACTGCTGTCGTTTTATGTATGAATCTATGTATATATTTAGATTCCCATATGTACAAATGTTTGTGTAATTGTGTTGTCATTCAGTTTTTGCTAAAATAGTGTGACAACAATTTCATAGCTCAACTAAAACAAGAAACTTAACTATGAAATAACTTCATAACATCTCATATTGTTGTAATAAATCCACCAAATCACGTGCTCTAAAATAAACCAGTTGCTATTCCAGATATAACCTGATTAAGGAAGCCATAACTAGGGCTGCAACAAAGAATCAATTTAGTAGTCAACTAGTCAAACGATTATTTCTGTTGTACATTTTAACGTTCTAAACACATTTTAACGTTCAATTATTTATTTTTTTTTTTTTTGTGATTTTGTATTAATAATGCCACTGTCTATGTCATGGCGTCATCAAACTAAGGTCTGCGGGCCAACCCGAGCCTTCTACGCCCCTTTGACCAGCCCCTAAGCCCCTCTGCCCCCCACCACTTGAACTGGCCCTATGGTAACCTGATTCATTAGCTGGTTTCACTTTGTAGAAACTGTCTGACCTCGCAGCATTAGAACTCGTTCGCTCGATGGTAGGCGGGTACTTTTTTCATTTAACCAATGGTTAAATGAAAAAATTAAATGCGCCGCTATCGGGACTAACTAATATATTAAGCTTTTCCCAAATCTCATAGAAAGAAGGACAATAATTATTTCCCCTTGATAAAATTCACTAAACATTCTCTTTGTTCTGGCTTTAAATTCTCAATCTTGGGAATTGTTGCCAACACAGAATGTATGGCTCTTCGCTGATTGGCTGGTGCCCGAACTCGCATTTCCGGGGATTTTGCGAACCGTCTAGTGTATTCTTATTCCTGACCTAGTCGCTGGAGAGAAATGAAGTTGAGTGGAGGCACTAGGTGGCGCTAGCCTGGCTAGCCCTATGAGGCAATCCTCAAAAGTTGTCATGGCCTATTTTTTAAAATTACTTTTTGGCAAATAATAACACATCTGCATCTTGTATTTTGTTGATTTTTTTCAATTAAAACAATTATATTTATATGAAGTATTTATATTTATATTTAAATAATTATATGACATATTTACATTTGCCACAAAATTTTCATCACCTGACAAGCTCAAAATCAAACAGTGACAGTTAACGCACACGCAGAGTTCTGTAGTTCATTTAAGGATAGCAAAATGGCGAGTGTTAAAATAAGAAAACTTGACAGAAAGTGCAGTGTTTTCAAAGAACAGTGGACGATTATTTTTTTTGTTCAGTGTAAGGACCGTGTAGTTTGTTTGAAAAGAAAGTGTGGCGGTTTTCAAAGAATATAATCTGCGTCGTCGGGGTCATACAATTCTTATATGACCTACCTGACCCTGGACTCCCATAACAATCAGGAGCGATAATGTGGCCCCCAGATTAAAAAAAAAAAAAAAAAAAAGTTTGGTGACCCCTGCTCTATGTACTAAAATGTCTATGTTTGTGCTTTAGAGTCTGTATATATGATTGTGATGATCAAAATACAATAAAACGTTTAAATAGTTGAGTATCATGCTGCAATGGTTAATCGACTAAGTTGAATGAAGACTTTCTGTTGACCATAAACTGCATTACCTGTCTTTTCTTACATATCTAGATGTCAATTTGTCACCCATTATAGAACTAGCAAGAAACTGCCAAATTACTTAGAAGAAAGATCACGTCATTTCCGACAACTATTGTATCCATAAAACACATTGGATAAAATACAAAACATATCACACAAAACCTCACCTGGAAAATGTACACAGACGACGGCTTGAGGCCCTCCACCACCATCTCCGTCTCCTTCGACTTGATTATAGTGTAGCTGGAGTCCTGTTCCTGTGGGGAGACAATACAGAGGAGAATTCCTTCATTTCACCATGCACACATTGTCTCAGCTGCTAAGACTTTTCTATCCTCTTTACCTGCAGGATATGTGCGTTTGTGCGTTTACTATGTGTGTGCGTGTGTGTGTGTGTCAGTATCATCTTCCCAACAGTAACCACAAGAGCTTTAAATGCAGCTAAATGCCTTTCCATTAGCCCCAAGCTATTAGCTAACCACTGACCACAAACCTCTCTCTTTTGCTTGGGATACCTTTATTCTGACCTTCCCCGAAAAAGAACATTGCATCAGGCTATGAAAGTTAGAAGAGGGAAGGGCGCCGGAAAACAGAGAGCTCAAAAGAATCAAATAGCTGGCTCTGCTTTTAAAAGAATGGATTAGAAAACAACTAGCGCATCGGATAGTCATTAGGAGGTGTAGTTTTTCTCGACGGATTTGGTTTAAATGGTCTTTATTTCAGCGGTAGAATGCGTGTGCGGGCTTATATCTCTCCACGGTCTAATTTAAAAGAGATAAAAGTTAGTTTGATTAGGCACAAAAGTGAAAGAAATGCAACGTCCGCAGTTTGAGCATTCGATGAAACTGTAATGTGAAGGAGTTTATACTATTCAAGAAGTTCAAAAGTTTGAGTTAATAATATTGGTTCTACTTTGTATTTTTCCTCTAGGAAGCAGCTTTACTTGAGTGTTTTTATTGTGCTAATGTTTAATGTTTATGTATGGGGTTATTGGACAGGGTCTAGCGCCTTGGTATTGCCATAGACTGTGTATATAAATTGACATAGCTAACCTGCTAGCCGTTCCCTGTATACATGATCAAATGTAGTATCCTTGTTTCTTGACATAACCTTACAAATACTCAAGTGCAAACATTTACTTGACTTAATTTAATTTAATAAACCAGGAAAAATAGAAACAACCATGAACTCCTTTAGCATAGGAAGCTTGGGAGGTTCCTAACCAGCGGTATGGAGCTATGATCTACTGTGCAGATCAAACCAACATTTCCAAACACACTACAACAGATTCTTAATTAAAATATTCTGCGTAAATAAACTCAACTTTACAACATATAAACTATAACCACTATACAGCCACATCAGCAGTTTTGATAATATAATTCAGCTTTGCACATTTGTTTACGTTTTACAGAAATTAAACTTAAAACCACACGGCTAATTTCCATAAACTGTTAGCGCTAATAAAAACAGCTCTTTCCTTGTGCTCTTATGTGGTCAGCTTCTGTTGTATTAAAGGTCACGCCTCAGTGGAATATGTGTTCTTTCTGTGACGGAGGTCGTGCTGCTGATGGTGAGTCTGTTCATTGTGTATATCGCATTGGAGATGGGTTATGTTTTACTTTCCAGTGATCATACGTGTGCAGGTCATACGAGTGCAGATTCGTGTGCAGTCATTTCATTTTATTTATGTTGGTCACTTTATTTATGTCACTACTGTTGTGGTGAAAAGACTGAAAAGTGTTTGTCTTTTGGACGCATGCATACTCAACTTTATGCTGCAGTAAACGGGATACTGCGTATACGCACCACAGTATCCAAGTTACTATCGGAATATACCAGCTACAGTATCCCGGTTTCTCATAACCAGGACACTGCCTTATTTGGGATACCGAAACCGGGATACTGCATATACATGCACCATGACGAAACTCAAAAAACCCGATCATAACCAGGAAACTGATGTGCATGTATACACATTCACTGAGAACTCTCTCTGTAACTGCTGCTGTGAGCCTTGTCATTTTGGTCTTAAAATGTTCATATTAACCCATTCGACATGTTCCTGGTGTTTTTATTTCGCTATTTTGTCGCAATATAAATAAATAACATACATTTGTGTGCCCTTATAACTGCTAGCTTCATGAGCTTCATTTGCTGGGAGCCACTATTAGTGACGTCCCACTCTCTTAGTCCACTTCTTTATAGTATGGCATTTGATATCAAACTGTGCAGTGTTTAATGTCTAAATTTTGCTGTTTATCTATGACCATGACAATTTAAAAACATCTCTGAATTGTGATGGTGATGTAAGATTGTTGATATTTTTAGCAATATTCGGCTGTACACTTATTTATTGTCCAAAAAAGTCAACGTTTATTTGTGTACTAGATGGTCAAAACTAATATATAAGTAACTGTTTTCTGTGATGATCTATGGTTATAAAATGTGGTACAGAACACTATTTGGTATCAAAGCATCACTGCCTTGGTTGGAGGTCTATGGTCACTAAGTAAGTCTAGCCAGAGCATGCATACAGCTATGGTAGCCCTGCAGGGACATTCTATTTTCAGTAAAAGTGACATGACTGTGTTTTTGTTATCTCTGCCAGTTATGAAAAGAAAAGGTAAAAGGCTAATTCCACTGGGTTTTATATGTGTACAATTGAACAGTGATTAAGAACACACACATCAGTTTGCAGTATATTTTTACACGACCACGCTGCAATCATGAAGTGATAATTGGAATTTTAATTAAATCATCATTTATGACTATGCCAAAAAGCACAAGGAAGCGTGAATATTAAACAGATGAAAATAAACCAGTGTGAAAAATGAAGATCACAGCATTTAAACATATTAGCTTTAAAATTGATAACTTGACCTTTGGCGTTTCAAATCAATTAAAATGATTGATTGGAGATATTGATCAAATGACAAAGGGTTAAATATTGACTGAAATATAATTTGGGTGAAATTAAGAATGTTTTGTAAATGTCAAATTTTGGTGATGTTGGTTTCAGGAAAATATTTTCAAGCACAATTAATTTTGTCTTTTAAATTTTTTTATTGTTATTTATTGTCTTTTTTATTTATTTTTTATTATATTGCAAAATATGTACAAAAAACACCAAGTTGTGGATTTAGATATATTCACATTATATAAAATTTGTATTTTTCTTGCAGTATTATTATTCATTATTTTATGTTGCACTATAATCATAATAAAAACTTTCTGTTCATAATACTTGTAGTACTTTACCTTTTCGAAGTACTTGATCTCGTATTCGAGGATGATTCCGTTGGGACGGTCTGGTTCGGCCCAGGACAGAGAGATGCTGCTTTTCCCCGTATGTCCTTTCCTCACCACGCTCACTGGGGATGGAGCTGCAACACACAAGTACACAATCACTGCAGATACAAGTACTAGTACACACAAATATTCCAACAGAAGAGACATGAAATTTAGTTCATTGTTTACTGAATGTTTTGATTTAGCTTAGCTACATGTCAGTGGTTAAAGGTCCTACATTAGCATTAAAAGGGCCATATTACGCTGTTTTCTGATCTGTATACTGTTGTTTCCTCATCACAAACATACCTGGAGTTGTTTTGTTTCATTCACAGATGTTCAACACACAAACGCTGCATATTCAGGCTGTGTTTTTTAACTCCATATATATTCACTGTAATAATTTGGAGGCTTTCAGACCTGGAATTGATCATCTCCACTGAACTAAAAGTAAAAGGTCGCTGTTAACTTGAAAACTACCACTACATCACATCACAAGGTGGAACAGAGCATTTTAAGTGGCATGTGGCCATACCGGCTTGTCAAACCCTAATCTCGTCAGATCTCAGAAGCTAAGCTGGGCTGGGCCTGGTTAGGACTTGGATGGGACACCACTGGGAATTCCCGGTGCCATGGGGGGGCGCCAGTGGCAAAAATTGTCATTGCGTCCTTAGGCGAGGTACTTCACATTGCGAAGTATAAAAGTGGAGTGTGTGTGTGAGTGATGGCGGTGGTCGAAGGGGCCGATGGCGGAGATTGGTAGCCTCGCTTTCATCAGTCTGCCCCAGGACAGGTGTTGAGTGTTGAGTGAATTAATAATGAACTGTAAAGCACTGGGTATCTTGAAAGGTGTTATATAAATGCACTGATGAATGAATGAATGAATGAATTAAATGACATGTAGACAGACCAGGATTACTCCAACATGTGTGAATGAAACAAAACCTTTAAACCATGTTAGAATGTTGTTACCTCATCAAAAACATACCTGGAGTTGTGTTTTGTTTCATTTCCACATGTTGGAGTAATCCTGCATTTTCATATATATTACATATGTGATGTCACAAAGCAGTAGTTTTCAAGTTAACAGCTACCTTTTACTTTTTGTTCAGTACAGATTGTTAATTCCAGATCTGAAGTTATCCAGATGTTCTAGGGAATGTGTATGGTGGAGGTTAAAAACACATGGAATCAGAAACAGTATTGTGTATCAAGTCTCTCCCTTAATTTGAAATCGAGTTTGAAATTGTAGTATTGTTACACCACATCATAAGTCATAAGGATCAGGCTAGAATTGTCACCTCACGTGCAACATTTTCACAGCTTTTAACAGTAAGTCGAAAGTTAAATTACGCTACTTTACGACTTACATAACACGCTCATTAGCAGTGATTAAACAGGAGAAATGTAAAGTTGTAAACGCGGCGGGTGTCCAAGTTTGATGACACCTCAAGCTTTGATGAGTACACAGGAAGCTAATTGTTAGTCGCAACGAGTCTGATGTTGTTCATAAAATATTCAAGTCATTACTGTGCATCAAAGCGACAGAAATGACACAAAAAGGAACACTCTGGAACATTGGTTTAATATGAAATGTGCAGAGGGGTATTGTGGTACACTGCAATAATGATCTATTATTAAGACTGACCCGATGTTTGGTTTTCTTGGTTAATATCCTGTTTTGATCACAGACGGGAGATGTAATTTTAATAATACACTGTGTCATAACAATGGAAGCTGTGTCCAAAATGAATAATGATAATATTGGTAATGAGGTTGCTGAGTATCTGTTGGTTCCACTGTGGACTTTTGCTAATAATATAACGTTGTAGTTGAAGTTATGGGTTAGATACGCCAACGTGTTATGGAAATTATTGTACGCATATACTTTTTGTGCATTTAAAGAAAGAAAAATGAAATGTTGACCCTAGCCATTGGTTACAGAGCGATGAAAATTGGGGTCGTTGCCATAGTGATTGTTAATTTAAAGAAGACTATTGTGTTTGTGTCTGCAATATAGTTATAATTTATAACACTCGTGAGTCATTATGTTATAATTTGCAAATTTTAAATCACCATGTTCATCTAATACAACTTAATAAAAGAAACAAGTTTGCTGACTTCCACGTTAGAAAACTGTGATGCTCAGTGCGAGCTGGTGTAGCTGAAAACGTCATCACAACAAAGAGCCAGTGCCTCAAATAGATGGCTCCACATGACTTTAGCAGGCTGTAGTTTTTTTGTTTTGTTTTTGTTGCTGCCTAATCCTACACATCACATCCATTAAAGGGACAGTCCCAATTTTGCACATAGGACCTCATTTCCTAGTTCCTAGTTTAAAATGTTGGAGTCCTTGTCCTTGCCTGTTGGAGATCCAGTCCTTGTATTTGCAGAGGTCGCTGGTGCTAGGCTAGTGCATGTCAATGGCCATAGTTAGCCTGCTACTAAAAACAATCTTACCCACTCCACAAAGCACCCGGAGCAAATCTATATGATGTAAAAGTTTGTGATGATAGACTAATGTTTGAAATAAAACTAACCTTGCATCTCATGAATTGTCACATGTTGAGGGACTAGTTTCTCAGCAGGAATTTTACTTTGCCGGTAAGATAGGTGCTAGGGGATATCAGTTCGCCGCTGCCAAGCTTTTTACCAGGAAGCACAACTCGCTGCTGCTGCTCAGAAATAAATCCTTCAAATGCAAGGTTGGTTTTACTTCTAAAATTATTCAAGACATTCACATCGACAGTCTGGCGTAATAATAGATTTGCCTTGGGTGTTTTGTGGAGTGAGTAAGACTGTTTTTAGTGGCAGGCTAACTTTGGCTATTGAGGTGTGCTAGCCTAGCACCAGCGACCTCTGCAAATACAAGGACTGGATGGAATATTAAAAAAAAAAAAAGTGTCTCCACACGACTCCAACACTTTGGCTCAATCGGAAATGAGATCCTACGTCCAAAATTCCAGAGTGTCCCTTTTAAGCAGAGCGAAGCAAGTACAGAGCAGTGGAAGTCTTGGAAATAAGCGATTAAAGATGAATCAAACATGAACAAATCACTCCTAATATAAGTTCGAGAAGGGAAAACAACTACAACATGATTTAAAGCTCCGAATAGTCAATTTTGCATAATAGGTCTGTATTATATTTTGAAAAGTGTCAAAAATGTCACTTATAAACAGAAAGCTAAAAATCCATGAGTGAGTTATTGTTTTCCTTTTTAAAAAATGTGGTTAAATAAATTAATGTGTATAATTTACTCTAAATCAACTTAAAATAAAATAATAAAATATTTAAAAAAGTATAATAAATATGTATGTATGATCATGATTTTTGACTGTGGGTGTAATGCATTATAATCAAACAGATCATACAGCAATAAAAAACATTACACATTAAGCATATTTGTATATTTTCCCAGCTGCTTGTGGTAACTTGGCCCAAATACCTGAGTGCACTTGTGCCTAATGAAACCTGCTTTACACATTTGCCACAGAAAAGCACTTGGCTCAAACTCCTGTGGTGTGAACACGCACCAATGTTTTTTTCAAGTCAAGTCCAAGTCAAACCAAAAACTGTTCTAAGTTCATAAATTATGCTAAAATCGCACACTGTTGTGGATGTCACTCAAATAATAACTAAGAAATACAAAATGCAAACCTGTAAATAGGAAAAATTCAACTACGAAAACCCATAAAATTCTTAAAAAGGGCGTACTATACAAAATCAAGCTTTCTTATAACATTGTTCTGTCATCAAAAACATGTCTGTAGAGGTTTTAAATGCACTGCTGGGCAAGTTACTTCAAAACTGTAATGTGTTATTTATTATTACTGTCATTTCAAAGTAATTTTTTTGCATTACAATATTACTGTGTTTAAAATGTAAGACATTACTATTGCATTACTTGTAAGTTACTCTCACCAAAATAACTGTGTGAAGATGCCAAACTTTTGCGCCGTATATGGACTGAACCAGGACTAAACCAGGTCTAAACCAGGACTAAACCAGGACTAAACCAGGACTAAACCAGGACTAAACCAGGACTAATCTTGGACTAGGACTTGGAATCTAGGACCGCCCCTGAGAGAACCCAGAGCCCGTGGAGCAGAGTGTCTGCAAAGCACAATCGGGCATCAGCTGCAATTAGCCCTGTGGAGCGTGGAGCTCTGCGCCGGACCTTTCACCCGCGGTCAGCCGACAGTCTACACGGGCGCACCTCCGGGCCTCTCCCGGCATTTGGAATCGTAACAATGGCATTTCACCACTGCTGATATGGCATTGATTTTAATGAATTTGTGTGAAGAAAAACGAAAAACCCACCACTTCAGTCCAGGTTAAAAATGCATTGTAACACACGTCACTGATATTTGTACCAAGTAAAATATTAAAAAATTTTTTCCCCCCTCTAATGCCTTACATTACTGCGTTACAGCAAAAAGCAATGTATTACAGTAAATCGTTACTTTTATAAGGTGTTATTCCTAACACTGTTTAGATGTTATTCATGCATGTTTCAGTAATTTAGTGGTCTCTCCTGGACCTTATTCAAACCCTCCTTATGGTTATCTGTGTGATTCTGCTCAGCCCACAAGTCTGTCACAACTTGACAAACCTCATGCAATGTGCAGTCCTTTCATTAGTGAGGTGCACGCTGATGTGTTGTGATATTGCTCTGAAGGGGGAGCGAACAGCAAAGAGAGGGTAGAAAACATGTGAATACATTGTTTTCAGTGACTAAAGCATTTTTATATGTTATGTGTTACCAATTGATCCCCTATAGAACTAAAATATAACCTCTTTAAGTTACACACACGTCATGTAAAAATTGTCTTCCGTCGCTATCCAACATCGTCGTAACCCGAGCTGTTTGCCCATCTCTCCACGGGACAATTGAGGCATCCCTGACACATAAAGAGCTTTTAACCAGGCAAAATGCTCCCTTCGGGCGCCCAACCCCCTTCCCCCCGCACCCACCATCGCTCTCTGGCTCTCAATGGGAATAAATCTACCAAACACAGTAACAGTATCCTGAGTGGCGGCCAGCGCACAAAGTGTTATCCGCGACATCTTAAAAGCCTGAAAGCAGACACCCAAT